CGGACTATGGGCGAGCGGCGTTGATCAGCGGGGGAAGGTGAGGGCGGGGGTCCCGGGCGGGAGGCACGAGCTGGCGAGGCGGGCCGCGGGGGCCGTGGGGTGGGACCGCGCTGACAGCCCCGGGCCCTCCGGGGGCGCCGAAGGGGCCGCCGCGAGCGCCCGGTGCCCCGCGGGGTCTGCCCGGCCGGCCGGCGGGGGCGGGGTGCTGCGCGCCGGGCGCGGGCGGCCGCGGGGCCGGGGTGGGCGCTGCCCGCCGCGTCCGGAGCCCCCGGCCCGTCCCGTCAGGGAGGACGCCGGCGCCGAGCTCCATCCGGGGTTCGCGGGGGACCCCTTCCGCGCCCCCCGCGTCCCCCCGATCCCGAGAGCGACGGGAAAGTTAGAACGAGTCCCCCGGGAGAGCCCGCCAGGGCTTCCCCGCGTCCCTCAGCCGGGGGCGCGGGCACCGGGCTGCCCAGGTGCGGGCGGCGCTGCCTGCCGGCCCGGCCTGTCCCAGGTCAGGGCTTTCTGCTGCAGGTAGGGCTTCACCTGCCGTGCCGGTCAGGCCCGCGCGCTCCCCAGGCGCTTAGTCCCACCTTGTAGTCGGTAGGTAGGGACCTGGGGACTCCCGACGGCCGGGGAGCCTTCCCACCTCCTGCTCCCTCCGTTTGATGCCCGTTCGTTGGGGGAAGGAGATGACAGCCACCTTCTGTGACAGGATAGACTTTGCTCTGTTTTGTTTAAATCACAGGAGGAAACTGCTTGACTTTGCTTGGTTTTGAAAAGGGTAGTCACTCTGGACCGTGTGCATTTCCTTCTTGGCTTGGTTTTGCAGGAGATAAGGAAGAGCAGAATATGTAATTGTAAAGGCAAAAGCATCCTTGTTTGTAAACAGTGTTTGTGAACTGCTGCAGGGCTCCTTAAGGCACTGCTGTGTCAGTCGTGGGGTAGATGTAGACAGTCTGGAGGGAACTTTCATTCATTCATTCATGCACTCATCACATGAGGACAGCAGCGGCCCTACCTGAAGAGGGAGGTATACCATAGGGCGTTGTGGATAAGAGTGGGCTTTGGAACCACACTTCCCTGAGTTCAAATTTTGGCTCTGCAACTTTCTAGAGCTGTGTGACCTTGGGCTCGTTGTTTAAGTTGTCTGTGTCTCAGTGCCCCTATCTACAAAGCAGTGGTTGAGAGTTGTTAAGGAAGATTTTAAAAGTTAATACCCATAAAACACATAGAACCATGTCTGCCACATAATAAGAGTTCAGTAAATGTTAGCTATTATTATTTCAGGATGCTCGTGGTCCGGTTAAGGAATGCTGACCTGTAAACATATAGTTGAAAAGTGGTCTAAAAAAGCTAGTATCAGGAGGAACAGAGGGCTGTGGGAGTCCAATGGAGGAAGCTGTTACTCAGCTTGGATTGGAGAAGGGTCCTGGAAAGGCTTGGCTGAAGTAATCTGAAGTTGTATCTAGAAGGATGGGAAGACTTAGCTGAAAATGAAGGGGCACGGTGTCCTCCTTTAAAGAGAGAGACAAGTAGACTCATGCTTTATTCCAGAAAACTCAGCTTGATCAATATAGTGGTAAGGAAGTCAACAAAGTACCAGGGGAGGCACAATAGGTTGACCAAGGAATGCCACATAAATAATTTGGGTCCAGGCAGTGGAGAGAAAGCAGAGGAGTGACACAGTTGGATCTATGGTTTACAATTATTTCCAGAGGAGGGAAAGAAGAGAAGAGAGACTAATGGAGACCTCTTAAGAGGCCACCACAGGCCCCTGAGAGTTAGTGCTGGATGCTAGGTCCTTGCTGAGAAAGGACCTAGAGAAAGGACCTATGCAGCTGGTGACAGGTGATGCTCCCACATGTTCCTCTCTCTTCCTAGGACTGCAGGTTGCTGGAGCAGCTGGGGAGTGAGCCTGCCCTCTCAGAAGGTCACTGGGGGGAGGGGTGCTGCATCTGCTCCCTTGTGCATTTAATTTGACCTCTTGAGAGGACAGCAGATTGTAGTGGTTAGGAGCCTATTTGGCTCTGCAATCATAGATCTGTATTCTCAGCCCTGCCAGCCACTAATGGCTACTTTGTCCATGCCCAGTTTTCTTCTCTGTAAAATGGGAACCGTGAGAGCCCCTCCCTAGTAGAGCAGGTGTGAGGATGAAGTAAAATGTTGTAGATTGAACATTTAGCATACACCGAGTAAGAAATGCTTGGTGAGGGTTAGCTGTTATTACAGGCTGCAGGAAAGAACTCCTAAGAATTAGTTGAAGCAATTAGTGGCAGCTAGAACTGTGTCCCACTGAGCTGTCAGAAGTGTCCTCAGGGATCAGAGGATCACAGAATTTTATTGTATTCTTTCTGAGAAGGAAATCTGTGGGGAGTTTACCAAGACTGTATGGGAGCCATGCGGATGATTCAGCTTGGCTCTTTAAACCGTTTTTTAAAATAGAAGTAGGACTGCTGAGGAAAAAAAAAATCATTTAAAGTATACATGGGAGAAAAAGTATTTAGAGTTTCTTCCATGCATGTCCCTGTTAGCTTCCCTAGTCTGGTATCTGATTTAATAACATCAGAAAGTATTACACACATTGATGTGGCTCAAAATTCAGAACCTCAGATCCACACACATGAGCTTGTGTGACTGGGGATATGCTGGGCCAAGGGGCGAGGGTGTGGCAGTGGGGGGAGAGGCAGCTCTGCCCTGGTGGAGCTTGTGGTCTAGCAGGGACAGTCAGACTCCTAACCAATTAACACTTGCATAGAGTTTAGTGAATCTCTCACAGAAGTCTGTCCAGCATGTAGTGGGAGCTTAGAGGAAGAAATGATTCCCTGTTTGGGGTGGTGGGGAGAAGGGAGGGTCTGGAAGATTGGAAAGAACTTTGGAGAGACCTTAGAACTTGAACTGGACCTTGGTGAATGAACTAGATCTTGAAGGGTGAATAGAATTATCTGAGGGTTTCCTGCTCTCCAGGCAGGAGAGCAGCATAGCATAGGCATGGGTGCGTGCTGGCGTGTGCACCAAAGAACCACAGGGGATTCTAGCACACAGTGTGGCGGGACATGCCAGAGGTGGGCACCAGTGCTACCTTCTTATTCTGTTGTCGAGGCTTTGTTTTAAGCGAAGGAAATACCATTAGACCTACATCTTCCCAAGAACCCTCTGGCTGCTGGTGGAGGATGGGCTGGGGAGACAGTGAGTCTGGAGCCCCCACAGGGAGGGCTGTTTGGTTGGAGAGATCAGGGTTGTTTGGAAGGAAAGTCAACTGTTCTCTGTGAGTATTTGGAAATGAGGGTTGAGGGAAGAGCAAGAGTGGCAGGTGACCCTGAGATTCCTGGTCTGGGTGACAGAGTGAATGACAGTGCAGAGATAGGACAGCTTGGGAGAAGATAATGGCCAGTGAAAACTGCCAGCTCCATTCAGCAGGCCCTGTTCACCCTCACGGGAGAGATCAGTTACAGTCCTGGGGTGCCCTGTCGGGCTTTGGGCCAGGCTTCCCTCTGCTTTTACCTGAGTCAGCAGCTTGAGAAGGGCAGCATTCCTCTTCACCTTTCTTCTGCTCCCGTTCGTCTCAATTATACTTCTTTAGTTTTTCAGAAACTCAAGGGCCTGAGTCTGCAAAATACATTTTCTTCAGCTTTCAGATGTCTTTAAAGAGCAGCCCATCAAGCTGAACTATCCGCACTGATTCAGCAAGGAGAGACAACTAGATGGGGCCCTAGACGGTAGGGTTCCCTCACAGGGGAGAGAGTTTCCCCAGTGCTCCCCTGAGATCTTGCCTAGAAAGAGATCTTGAGGTCAGATTGCAGTCAGTCCTTCTCAGGAAGAAGTATCTGCCAGAGACCACCTTGGACTCACTCTGAATCATCAGGGAAGTGAGGGGAGCCCTTATTCTGGTGCCCTTATCCCTCTGAGCTCTATGGGACGGGTGCGTGGAGCCAGACCGCAGTCTGACTAGGCTGTGGGAAGGCTGCTGGCGGGTGGGACTTCAGGAGATTATCGCAGGATTTGTTCTTGCATTTGTGGTATAAAGAAAGTAGAAGAGAAAGTGATACAAAACAAGAGCATTTCTTCGTCCTCTACCTGCTCAGGTGAGACTGTGGCCTTGAAGGTGACCCAGTGCCCACAGCGAGCATGCATATCCCCTTGGACTCTAATCAGGATCCCAGAGGAAAGGGTGGTGTTTGATTACTTACTCTCTCAGACGCGGTGCCCTTTTGGCACATGCATGTCTGGGTCCTTTGGTGATGTTGTCTCCTGTCGTGTGTGTAATTTATCCAGCAAGCTCTCTGTTGATGAACGTGGGCTATTCTCTTATCTAACGCTCTCCAAACAAGGCTGAAAGGAATCTCTGCATCATATGATTATGCCCATCTTAGGTGTCTGCAGGATAAATTCCTAGAAAAGGGGTTGCTACCTCAAGCAATACCTTTTATTAACGTTATTTTAAAAAGAATTTCTGGTCCCCCTTTTAATATATTGGTGCAGCGTACCACACACACACACCCCGTTAAAGGGCAAAGTTAGTCTTTGGATTGAGGTTCATCTTCCTGAGGGGATACTGTGAACCCCTCTCCCTGAAGAAGCTCCATCCCAGTGTAGACATCCCCTCCCAGCTAATGGCAGTCTGGCTTGGGTGTGAGTTCAGGCTCCCCAGAGCTTATGTGTAAGCAATATATTTAGGCTTTGATATCAAAGAAAGGCTAGTTGTTTGAAAGACCAGAGGTAGCAAAACTAAGAGGGGCTCTTGTCATTTAAATTGAAGCTCTACATGTTTATAGACCACTTGGCAACAGAGATAGAGTACCTTTCATCTTTAGGGTGTCCGTGACCCAAGCTTCCAGAAGGAAGAGCGAATGACCTAGATGTTTTAGTGGGCACCGGCAAGAGCAGGACGCATGGAGCCTATCATTTGTCTTTGGGTTTGGGCAAAGCTGTTCTGGGGGTATGAAAAACAACAGGTCCTTCTAGGAAGAGACTCAGTTCAGCCCCATGGGAGACCTGTGGGGCTTTTGGACCCTCACTGCGGGCATCTGCCGGCTCCAGAGAGCAAGAGTCCTGCCACTTTTTGCTATATGTGTGGCGCTCCTGGCATTACTATGTTTGGGGTGAATTCCACGGGGCATGTTCTCTTCTGACTTTTCTTCCAAGGTGGCCCCTCCTGAAGGTACAGGAAGGAAACCAGCCACAAAAGAAGGATCCCCATCGCCCTAATATGTATTAAACTCCTCTCACAGCCTAAGAAAGGACGGGTGTCTGTTTTACACAGAACACCCAGACGCAGAGGGTTTAAGTAATTAGTCCACTGTTACATAGCCAGTAAGGGCAGCATTTCCAGCCCACCCTCGTGTGACTCCCGAGCTCATGCCATCCCAGGCCTACGTGCTGGCCAGGCTTTGGCCCTAGGGATCCCAGCCCACAATGAATCTTGGACTCAGAGTTGTAGAGCTGAAAGGGACAATGACAAAGCTGAAGCCATCCCACTTGGCCAAAAGACTGGAATCTGTCACTGCCTGGAAATAAGCCTCTCCTCCTGCTGCCCATGGGTAGTGGGTGAGGAGACTTTTACCATGTCACCCAGCAGTTAAGGACCTGGCTCACATCAGACCTGGCTTCAGAACCCATTTCTGCCACTTGCTAGTTGAGTGACATTGAGCAAGTCGCTTCCTATCTCCAACTTCAGTTTCCTCCTTTGTGACAGGGAAACAATGCTCCCTGCTCCTAAGGCAGCAATGAGGATTGGACACAAGGTGTTATTTTCTGTAGCAGGTTCAGCTTGGTGCCTGCTCTGCAGTCGGAGGCCCAGGCAGGCTCTGCTGAGGCCCAGGTGAGTTCTTTGTTAGCAGGTCGGTGAGTGTCCCAAAGAAGTGTCACGAGTCAGCTTCCAGATCTGCAGTTTGGTAATCCTCCCAGCCCTACAGGTGCCAGGTGGCGAGCAGGAAGTTCCCTATGGGTGTGTTTGCAAGTTACCTGGGAGCACTTACCTATACCAGGAGTGGTGCTTTTGTCCCTTTCGTCCCCATTCTGAAGCAGCCTGGCACCGGCAACCTGCCCTGGACCCTCGGGGTGCTTGGGCTTGCGGTGAGAGTGTCCCACCATACTCCCTCTAGTGTGCACCTTGGAGGCCAGCCTCCCTTGATTCCATTACTCTTAACAATTACAATGGATTCAGAAAATGTTCAGAGCTTTAAATATTATTAGTATAGTTGTCTGTGATAAAAGAATTAAACAGTACTAAAGAATATAAAATAAACCTTCCCTCCCTTCCTTGGGCCCCCAGTTCTACTGCCTAGAGGTATCACTGTTAAGTTTCTTCTAGAAATTTCCTATGCATATTCAAGGGTATCTCTTTACTCAAAGGGGTCATGTTCTACAACTAGTGCTGCACTTTGCTTTTTGCTTTTTTTTATAATGTGTCAAGGCATCTTGATCTATTGGCAGGTGTGGACTTAATTCTAAAAGGTTGCGTAGTGTTCTAGTATCTGGATGGAACACCACATAATGGACCAGTCCTCTCTTGGTGGACATTTCAGTGGTTTCCTCTCTGAGGTGTGTGTGTGCTTTGATTTTCATGATTTTTTTTTTCTTTTGTGGGATTTTGGCCACCGCACTTGGTACTACAGGGGCCCTCATGCACATTTATCTTTGTCACTTTGGGCGAGTAACCGCTGTTCAGCAGCAACAAACCCCCTTACCCAGCGGTGATCCCAACAGGCTCACCCATATAGCCTAGGCCAGTAGTGGGCTTTACCACCCAAGCTTGTGTAATTACACTCCTTGACATTCACGTGGGGAAATCACCTAAGGACAATGCATTTCTCAGAATTATCCCTGTTGTTGAACAACACATAATTGTATCTGTAGAATAAATCCCTAGAACCAATATTGCTGGCCCCAAGTTATGTGCGCCTTCTTTTCAACAGTGGCTTCACATGTTTTCTGCCCATCTGCCAGACCTGCACAGGGGGTCTGAGGTGGACACGGTCCCAGACCCTGCCTCCGGGACTCAGCCTTTTGATAGACACAGGCAAGCAAGGGAGCATGCTCTGCTGCTGAGTGGATCAAGTGTCGGTGGTGGGTCGTGGCCCTTGAGATCGGCTCTGGCTGGCCTCAGCGGCCCACCCATCTGAACAGCCTGCTGAGGGGCTCTGATGTCAAAGCCTGCCGTCTGCCTCTGTGATCTCGGCCCTCTGAGCAGCCATAGCCAGCAGCGTTCAGTAGAACAGCAGAAAGTGAACGGTATTGTTCATTGTCAAAGTTGTGAAATGGAATTGAATTTTTGATAGAAGCCGTTAAGGAAAGGCAGTTGGCTGGCCCCAGTCCAAATTGCCTTTCGCACAGGATGACTGTTGTGATTTCTGCTGTTAAAAACTGTATAAAGAGAGAGAATCACATGCACCTGGGCCTGGCCCGGGCTTTCCCGTCTGTCGCTCTGGAAATCTGGAATGAAAGAAAGGAAACTTAACATTTGTCTGGTGCCTCCCACACACTGGCTCCCGGCAGTCCTCAGGGAACCCTGTGTGGGGGCAGCACTGTCCCCCTCCTCTAGGCAAGGGGGCTGCAGAGCAGAGGAAATCATGTCCAGGTCACAGAATGAGCACAAAGGTGGCTCTCGGGTTCAGCCAGCCATTTTTCGGTCGCTTGCTGCTTTCTCCTTGCCTGATTTGGGTCGTGGGTGGGAAGAACCCGAACTCCACGCATGGCACACCTTTTCTTGGGGCCACATGACTGCAAAAAGCAAGGACTGCTTTAAGCTGTGGAGCCCCTTAATCACATGCTCACACCAGGGTGCTCCTATTTGCAGTCTTCTCTGCGAACCCCAGTGAGGCAGGGCAGGCAGGCATAAGGGAGGCAGGGCTGTCAGTGACTCAGTCTTTGGTCATTATACAGGGCAGAAGACCCCCCACAGCACCACGGGGCCACACCAGGAATGTCTCCTAAGCCAAGTGCTTGGTTACCCCCACCCCACCCCGCTGCTTCTCTGCTGCTTCTCTGCATGGGAGATACGGGGCAGAACAGCCCGAGAAAGAGCTATGAAATCTGTCCCTTCCTCCTCCAACACCCACACACAGTGACGGATTATTTGTTGTCACATCAGCTGCTTCCGGAGGCCCATGGGAGGGGTGAGCTGGTGGCAGGGTTGGTGATGCTGCCCTGGATTTTGCTCTGGTGGATCTGGGTTGCTGATCTGATGAAGCCCTTTGTCCCTTCCATAGGGACTAGTTTCTTCCTCCTTTTATCTTCTCCCCAGAGGGGCCCAGGGCTCCACCTCTGTGTGCCCAGCCCTTTTCTCCCCAAAATGCTCTGGGACTGACCTGGTGCCTTTAGCCTCCAGTCTCCCCCACCTTCATGGAGGTCACAGAGGAGCCCAGTAGGGACTTTCTCAGGGCAGTGGGGTGAAGAGGGACACTGCTGATTACATAATCTCCTTGTGTGTGACTCTTGCCTCCTGGAAGCAACTCGAGCTAGACCCCCATCCTCAGCTGCAGATTCTGGGCTCCCTGGGAGCAGCACATCTTCAGGCCTCTGCTGGACCCCAGACTGCTGTGCTCAGCATGCTGTGGCCCTGCTGAGGAAAGACAGCAACAGAGGCCAGCCTGGTGCGGATGTACAAGGGGGAGCCGGCTGGGCACAGAGCCCTCTTTCTGACTGCCCCTCCCACTTCCCACAGGGCTGAGTCACTTCCTCTCTGGCTGCTGCAGGTACTCTCCCACATGCCTGAGAGCAGAGCGGGTTGGGGGGGGGGGTTCACCCTGTGCGAGAGCTGCATGAGAAGCAGCCAGTTCACTGGTTACCCCTGAGGCAGTCATTTACAGGATGATGTGATGTTATGTATTCTTGACAAATTGGAGCTATACATATCCCGCATTTTAAAAATGAATAAAATCATCACTCTGTTTTGGAACAGTGAGGATGACAGCACTTGCATGAATCTCTGTCATCAGGGGAGTCCTGGCTGAAGGCAAGCGATTGCTACTCTACCTTCCCCACCCACCCAGCATCCATCCTGAGCAAATGGCTTCCAGCTGTTCTAGGGAGGTTGCTTATAGCCTTCAGGTTACCATGCCCACTTCAGGGATGGCTGTCATTCAGACTCAAAGGAAAAGCCTTCAAACAGAGCCCCCTTCCAACCGGTTACAGGAGCAGAAGAGAACAGGCCTCAGGAAGCCTCCTGTGGCCCAATGAGGTGGGCCAGGATCTCTAGGCTTTGCTTTGTCAGCAATAAAGTGGGGGAAGTCTTCATAAAATTATGACAATAAAAAAAAAAATCTGGGAAGCACTAAGAAGAGTTCCTAATGCCAATCAAAAGATAGTTAGAAAGAAATGCGCCAGGAGAGATTGCTACCGGGGAGCTTACCTCAGCATGGGGCACAGAGCTCTCAGCTCTTACCCAGCAAAGAACTCAGGACACTGCCAGCCGCAGGATCACATCTGGTCCCTCAAGCATCAGGGATGGGGCAAGCGAGGCCCGTGCAGGGTAGGTGACTAGTTCAGGGTCACAAAGCAAGAGAGGTGACAGAAGCTGAAGGTAGGTTTTTTTGTTGATTCTTTTTTTGTATATCTATTCGTGTACTCTTAATCTAGGCTACATTAGGATCCTCCCCTCAGGCATGGCCACTGTAGGGTCACCCATAGCCTGCCACCATAGTCCTTCGTGCTTCCTTCCCTCTACCTTCTCTCCCCTCCTCCCTCTGGATGCTTCAGTTGCATGTTGGCCACAGAAACCGAATTTTGGACCGGGTCTACATGACCCCTAAGTTCATCTTGTTCTCAGCTGGCATTTGGGTAACTGGCTTATGGTTTAGAACACTGGGTTCCAGTGGGCTGCAAGCCCCTCTTGGTTCTGTGGATTGACCTTGTGGATGGAGAGCAGTCTCTAGGGAAGTTGGTGGCACTGGTAGGAACACTTACGTGTGAGCACTGAGGTGCTATTGGTGTTAACTCCCAGAGTGCTTGGGTCAGAGAGGGATGGGGGACACTGCCTTGTTAACTGGTGGAAGGATGTCTCGGTAACCCAGGCTTGGACTCGGCCCTTTTTTCCAGAGTCAACCTGCTCAGGAGGCGCTGAGATGCATCTTTTCCCAGGGACAAGCGCAGCCCCTCTCTCCCTGCCCTCCTGTAGCTCCCAGGAGAATGATTGCTTATACGGAAGTCCAGAAGGTGCTATCTCCTCTGTGGATGAAGCCACAGTAGATATGAGGTAGAGAAGGAGCAGCTGAGGAAGCAGTGTGGTCAAGTAGAAAGAACACAGCCTTCTGGAAAACCTGTGTTCACATCCCAACTCTTTCAATTGCAATAGCCAGATCATCTCAGCATCTCTGAGCCTCGGTTTCTTTTTCTTTTTTTAAGGTTGATTTTTATTTATGCACACAAGAACTGGGGTGTAGGCCACAGATGCAGGGGTATGAGGATTCACCAGAGACAGAGCAGGGAACAGAACAGGCAGACTGACTGAAATACACTGCTGAGGGGAGCAGCGAGCGCGACAGGAGAGGTCTGCTGTGCCATGTGGCTTATCTCCCTGACTGGGGATCAACTCATGCTGCAGTGGCTGCCAATTGCTTGATAGCCCTGACTTTAATCCCTGTGCCACCAAGAGAGGCCCTTGGTTTCTTTTTCTAAAAAATGTGTTTGGGGGCTGGGGGGAGATCACTTACAATCATGTATTTGAAAGTGCTTTGTAAGCTACACTGCCTTGTGCAAAAGTTAGTTGTGATAGACAATGTGAGGGCCTGGGCCTCCCAAGTAGGTTCCCAGTCTGAAGCTCACCATTTAGAAAAGGGCCCAGGGAATTTACAAGCCCTTTAATGTGAAAGGGTCTAGTCTTGAAAGCAGGGACCCACAGATCAGCTTAGTTGAATGGCATATTCAGATCTCACATTCTTACCTCAGGCCTCATCACTTCACTCCGGGGCAGTCAGCTAAATGCATGGTTGGGCCAGGACTTTTCTGGGGGAAGAAGGAGTAGCATTAATTTTTCTGACTAGCAGAAGGACCTCCACACTACAAATCTAGAGTGGCCCAGAGGATCCGTCACTGGTATGAGGGGGCAGAGCAGGCTGTCACTTACTTGCTCCCACATAATACTGTAAGAAAGCAAGTCTTTTTGCTGGATGCAGCAAAAAGGGGGCTGTTCTGTCTGTGAGGGGGTTGGCATGGGCTGCAGGCCTGCAGGCAGGTTGTGAATGGGTTTCATTCCTCAATGGGGGTTGCTCTTCAGCAGCAAACACTGGGAAAGGACAGCCCCTGGCTAGCTGCCAGTTAGAACCTGCCCTGCCCCAGGCTTGCATTTCTGACCTGGGACTTTTCCTGGACAAGCTATTCCCAGCACCACTGCAGCCCACTCACCTTTGGCTGTGGCCCTCCAGTTTTGGGGGCTACCTTCAATCCCTGGCCTTTAGTTGGGTGCCTCAATATGGGCTTTAGTGCCATCTGGGGAGATAATTCTACACTGTTTTCTCAGCATTTTGCCAGGCTTTGAGTTCGGATACAGGGAAGCAGAGATGACTTGAGTAGCTCCCTCAGGGAAGCCCACAGCCTGGGGACGCGGGTAGAGTTAGATAAACCAGTGGTTACAGCACTGGGGGGACAGAGATGTGCTTAGGCACTCTGAGAGCTGGAGGAAGAGAGGATTTATGCAGAAGGTAACACTTCAGTTAGGACGGAGGGAGAACGAGCCGGCCAGAGAGAGAAAGTGGGCAGGGCAAGGGTAATCATGGCACATGCAGAGAATTGTGAGTCATTTGGTAATACTGAATTTCAGGGGCATGTAAGGGCAGTGAGGCTACAGAGGTGACCAGGGTCAGTGTGGAGTTTAGGATGGAAGCACTGGAGGACCCTCATCATCTGTCCCATAGCAGAGACAGATACTGCATGCCCAAGCCCCCCAGCAGAGGAGAAAGGGCAACCTGCTGGAATGTTTGTCCCCAATTATGCAAGTAACTGAAGGGAGTCTTCCGCATACTTCCTGATGGCGAGCAGTGCCCACCATCTTGCACCTGTGCAGAGAAACCCTTTCAAGATGTACTGCAGAGAGACGCCACCAGGTGGTGGGCCTGGAGATTGCACAAAAGCCTCCTTTTTACCCCTGATTGCTTAATTGGGGAGAAGGAGGCATACAAGACTGAACTGTTTATACCAGACTGGCTGTGCCTAACAAGTGTGAGATTACACGTTCTGCCACCCTGAGCTGTGTGCCCTCAAAACTGAACAGCAGATTCTTCCAGGGCCTTGGGAGCTATTCCAGCACCTGCTCCTCTGCCTTCAGGGACCTGAGATTAAGTTGCAGACATTGTGACCCTTTACCCCCAAACACTTCACCCTCTATCATCAAAGAGCAAGATACTCTCCTGTATAACCACAGTGCAGTTTTCAAGTTGAAATTTGAAATTGAACATGGCTGCACCACTGTTTCCTGGCCTGCATGCAGCCCAGTGCAGCCTAGACCCACATCTCGCCAGTCATCCAATCATGTTGTTTTTTTTTTAAAATTTATTTATTTATGCATACAAGAGCTGGGGTGTAGGCCAGAGGTGTAGTAGGGTGAGAGGATTCACCAGGGACAGAGTGGGGAGCAGAACAGGCAGATCCACTAAAATACACTGCCAAGGGGAGCAGTGGGGGAGACAGGAGAAGTCTGCTGCGCCGTGTGGATCACCTCCCTGGCCAGGGATTGAACTCGTGCTGCAGTGGCTGCCAATAGCTTCATAGTGCTGAGACTTAACCCCTTGTACCACCAGGGAGGCCGCAATCATGTTCTTTCCAATGTTTGCCCTCCAGGATCACCTGTCATATTTACTTAGCATATGTGTTTAATCTCTTTCAATTCTTCAATCTTTAACAATCTGACATTGCTGTTGTGAAGTATACAGCCTGTCTTTGTTGAAGGCCCCTCAATATAGGTTTGTCTCCTGATCAGATTCAGTCTGTGCGCTCTGGCCAAAAAAATAAGTGATGTGTCCTTCTCAGCATATCACATCAGGTTGACTGTTTGGTTAAAATTGTAACTTGCTTTTATTTTTTTTAATTGAGGTATACTTACACACAGTGAATTTCACATGTCTTTTAACTGTGTCATTCACTTTGACAACATCCAGAAGTTATGTCCTTTCACTATAAAAGTTTTACAGCCCAGGGCCTCCCTGTTGGCGCAAGGGGTTAAGGTGCAACCTGTGAGGCTATTCACAGCCACTGCAGCAGAATTTCAGTCCTCAGCCAGGGAGCTACCCACATGGAGCAGCAGACCTCTCCTGACTCACCCACTGCTCCCCTCAGCAGGGTATTTCAGTCATTCCTCCTGTTCTGTTCCCCACTCTGTTTCTGGTGAATCCACTCACCCCCCACACCTCTGTCCTGTACCCCAGTTCTTGTATGCATAAATAATCTTAAAAAAAATGTTTTACAGCCCAGTGCACATGCTGTTTCCTCCCCCCAGTCCTGCTCCTGGAGATCTTAGACTGGTGGCTCCATGTCTCACTGAGTCCTCTCTGCCCCCAACACTCACCTCCAGCTGGAATATGATGAAGGGCCCGTTCAGGTGGCTTCATCATCATGGATAGTCCCTTCCTGTGCCTTTAGTTCACGATTGCCAGCTGGTGCTCCAGCCTCTGCTCCCCCACAGACAAGTAAACAGGAGGATGAGATGCTGTTTGCCTCTGCCCAAAAGGGCAGGCGCTCCCCAACTGTACTGTGCCCTCTACTGCAAGATGTGCCTTGTCACTGTCCAGCAGCCCTCTACCTCCTCAACAGCTCAGCTGACCTCAGGCCTCCTGTCCTCCCCACCACAAGTTGAGCTTGCCACTTAGGCTGGCTAGCAGACCCCCAGGCCTACAGCCTCAAGCCAGCAGACAGACACCGGTGATTCAGCCTGCCCCTGCAGTATAGACTCAGTCCTTGGCCTCCTGATGGGCATTGGAAGCTGACAGACTGTGGCTACCAGCTAGTGGTTATTAGCCCACACAGTGAGCACTGCGCTGGCCAAGGTGTATGGCTTGCTCCCTGCAGGGGCTGCCCTACAGTCTGCCTTCACTGGGTTTGGTTTATAGGTTCACCTATCTCTCCAGGGATGCAGAGGTTGCCTAGAACGTGGTTGAGTGCAGAACCTTCTGCACCTGTGTGGCAGGCCCCATGGCTGCCCCTCATGTTTGTGAGGGCGGGCTCACTCTGGCTTTGCAGGTGTGTGTCCTCTGCATGGGCTGTGTGTCTGGCCCATGTGTGTCTGGGCTCCTGTGGAGATGCTTCTGGATGTGAGTGATGGGCCTTGCCTTGGCCAGGTTTCACCCGCCTTGTGGTGGGTAGAGCTGAGGAAAGACTAAGTTCCGCCCCAGGACCATCCCTCTTTGCAGCCTACCTCCTTTTGGAAATTGGTGGTAGATCCAGCATGTTGAACCTTGCTCAGCCATAGGGTGTTCTGCCTGGCTCTCCCCCCACACACACTAACTTCCATGCCCTGTCACACCGCACCCCTGGACTTGGCATCATGGGCCTTAGAACCCTATGTGGTGCTCATGACCCAGCCTTCATTGCCTTCTGGGAGAGTTGGGATCACATTACCTACCCAACCCCAAATTGACAAGGTAGGTCAGGCAACCCCTTCTCTGTGCATGTCCTCATGGTTGTCATAGAACCAAGGCCCTCTGGTACTATGGACCACACCTCATTCCCCAGCCTGGGCTGGCAAATAGAACCCCTGTTTTCAGGATTGAGGATCACAGCCATGCAGGGGGCGGGGGTACCAGGCTGGGTTCTCTTTCAGTACCTCCCTCCTGGCCTCTACGCTTCATCCTCCATTATTGCCTCATTGAACTTCCTGTTGAGTTCAGGTTCTAAGGTCACTGGGGCTGACTTGGGAGGATAGCACATGGAATAGTTGACAGATTTAAAGCTCCAGAAACTTCTAAGCCTGGACTGAGAGTTCCTGTGGGATTGAGCCATGGGCCAAACCAGGCTCAGTCAGAGCCCTTCACTCAGGTTTGAGCACCAGTGTCTCTGGGCCCAAGTCCTGAGACCAGGGTAACCAGAGCCTGAGAATCTCAGATCTTAGTATGAAGGCAGCAGCCCTCAAAGTGGCCTCCCCTGGGAGTATCTGTGGACCGTTTGCAGGTGTCTCTGGAGGGAAACTCGTCTGGGAGATGTGAGGGTGGGGCACACCCTCCCTGTGCATCAGCAGGGTCAGGGGACAGGAGTGGCCCCAGCAGGATTTGACTTTGCTCACTCCACCAGTGGTCCTGCTTACAGTTTCCACTTTTCCAGGCCTGTCTCTTCACGCTGCTTCCTCCAGCTCTGGATGACATGAGGGGATGGCCAGGAAGGGAAGCAGCCTTCTCCCACTTCTCCTGCCAGCCTCCTTCCCTCTCCCTGCCCCTCTGCCCCGTCCTTCTGTCTATCTACATTTTGAAGCAATTCCCATGCCATTTGCTTGTATTGAATCTTGAGTGGGGCGGGTGGGGTCAGGCTGAGCCCACTCATTGTCTGTGCTGCAGCTGCTCCCGGCAAACTGTTGTCTAGACCGAGCCTGTGCGTAGGCGCCCAGGCAGCGTCTACACAGATGTGACACGCCTCCATGCTGCTCTCCAGGGAACCAGGAAGGGAGAGGAGGTTTGATGCTCTAGGGAAGACAGATGGGGGCTGGAATGGTAGTGAAACCAACTTACCAGGAGCTGCCTGAAGCCCACAGGCACAGGACCGCTGAGCAGGGAAGAACCGTCACCAGACCCAAGGGAAGACTTCTCTCCATTCACAGAGTGTCTGCTGGGCCAGGCCAGGCCACGATGCTGTCTGCTGGTGTGCAGTGGCTTTATTTTACTTTTTTGCGTCATGGAATTTTTACCCTAGTGGTGGTAGGCAGATGTTAAGCATACAAATATACGAATAAATACGTAGTCTTAAAATATGGGACGTGTTCTGAGGGAAAAGAGACTTACTGGGACTTACTCATATACATGCACAATATGTATTTTTCCCCTTACGAGTAATTAAGGAAAAACTGAAAATAGGAGTGAGGGAAGAGAGAGTAAAACCCTCATTGACAATTTGGAGGTGTTCTTTCTGTCTGAGAGAACCAGAGAGTGAAGGAAAGCTTGAGAGCGGAGACCCTCAGGGCAGTTATCCATACTCCATGGATATAAGACCCCCCACCCCGCCTCTCCACAAGACTCATGTCCTCATGCCACTTCCGGGCCCAGTTCCCACCATTCCCCAGAGACGAAATCAGTACAGGTGCAGTGGAACCCAGGAAGTGGCACGCCCCTCGGGCCCCTCGGCTTAGGGGCTTGGGGGAGGAGGCCTCACTTTGGGAACAGTCACGTCAGCTCTCCTGTGTCTGGCAATTTCTTGGGGCCCGTCTGGCCGTAACAGCTACACAAATCCACTTTCTGCTGCCTGAGCAGACTGCTGCCTTGCTGCCTTGCTGCCTTGAGCACATCCACCTTTAGCCTCCCGTTAACCCCAAGTAAAGGAGCTGCAGTTCTTTGTCCCTGGGAGCCTTGGATGTGCCCCAGGAAGGGGAGGAGGTGGCAGCAGCAGCTGCGTGACACATCCCCAAGTTAGAGACTTTCAGGCTGGGTTAGCACAAGGAAATTCGCTGACTTCCTCAGTGAAAAGGCCCTTTTCTGTCTGTCTAGAGCTGAGAATGAAGCGGAGAGCATCAGACAGAGGAGCTGGGGAAACGTCGGCCAGGGCGAAGGCTCTAGGAAGTGGGATTTCCGGAAATAATGCAAAGAGAGCTGGACCGTTCATCCTTGGTAAGCCTCTGCCCTCCGGTGAGCTGGTATGCTGGGAGCAGGAGCGGGTACTGGCTTGCACAGTCTCACTGTGATAGGCAGAGCGAGGCATGACACTCGCACAGCGTGGGGTCCTGACCAGCCCTCAGCCTGGCCCTAGCTTCACCACTTTAAATGCAGTATAATTTATGTCGGCAGAAAATCTGGAACCTTAGGTCACTCATTTTTGTTGAAGCTGCATGCTTTAGACCAGTTTCAACTGAGAACTAAATTCTGTCCCTTCCTCTAGAGAATCCTGTGTGTGCCCCACAGTGTCACACAGGGGCAGTGGACAGCAGCTTTAGAACCCGAGGCCACCATTCAGGGTACTCCTTGAACTTTTTTGGAGGGCAGAATTCATTTCACAAAGTGATATAACCCACAAACTGCTTGTAAAATAGGCATAGAAATCCTGTAGAATAGGTGTTCCCAGTGGCCCAGAGAGCCGCAGTCTTTTCGTTTTTTGCTTGATGTCAGAGGCCCGGGAGGTCAGTCATGTGTGCTCAGGCTTGCATGTGGGTTAAAACAGTGCCAAAGACAATGCCATGGTTGGGACAGGTTACTGTGGCTTCTTGCCTATGTGCTAACAATTGCAAGACCACTCATACTCTGGTGCAACTACAGTGGGATATATTTAACAAACAGGAGGCTGGGGAAATAAAGAGTTTTTTTAAGACCACAAGCGGCTGGCTATGTCATCCCAGATAGTGTCCAGAGCGTTCAGTAGTCCCCACCAAAGGCCACTCGCGCAAGATGGTATTATCCGGTCGATGAGGGCCTGGAGCTGGTGGCATACCAGTCAGCAGTACACCAGAGTCCAACTCACCTTGGTAGCTGGAGGTGCTCACAGGTGGGACCCTTGAGGTGACACCACAGCAGCTCACAGCAACAGTCTCGAGGCTGGGCTGGACAGCACTGGACACTGAACTGGACAGCAATGGAGGCAGCAGCACCAGGAAGTTGTGCTGGACATCACAAGCGGTGGACTGCTCAAAGGTGGCCAGACACAGAGTCAGTAGCACTGGTTAGCACTTGTCAGTGGTTCCCCCTGCAGGCAATGTCAGAGGCAGGTGCCACAGCCTAGTCTCTGCAATCTACAGAGGTCTGCAAGTCTGCTGAGTCCCACAGAGATTGTCTGCTCCATGCTTCTTTGGAGCTCATCTGCTGAATCCTTTTAGAGGTTGGATCCTGAGTCCTTTCTTCCGAGACCTAGAGTAGAATGAATCTAGGCTGGCTTCTGCCCTGCCTTATATACTCTTTCAGGGTTCCCTACCCTACTGCAAGCCTGATTAGACCATTTTCAATCCTAAGGGCACCAATCAGTTTGCTTCGATTTTTCAATTAGAATAATTAAGTCACAAACTGAACTCAAATCTGATTGGTTCATATCTTGAATCGATTCCATTTACAATCCAGGGATCAAACACAAATACAATCCAGTGCCTGCACAGACTCGGCAGGCCCTGAGGTTAGGGTAGGTTCATGGGTGGGCTGGGAGGAGCCATGGCCAGGACCAGCCTCAGTGAGGCCAGAGGTACACTACACCCAGAGCCCCTTCAGCAGGGCCTGGTGTAACAATGCAGGAAGGTTGGGGGCGGGGGGTGGGGTGGGAGAATCTGCAGCAGAACTGGGACACAGGTCCCTGCTACTGCAGGGTGCGCCAGTGCGCCACTGGGAGCCCACCGTGTTGACCTGGCATTTTGTGGGCCTCTAGTGCCTGCGGCTTGCTGTGGTGCTGGGGCTATACCAGCAGGGCCCAACGCTCCTCTAAGCAACACCTGTCCAGGAGCAGCTGCTGGAGGTGTGACCTTGCAGCTGCAGTCCCAGTGGGGCTACATGCCCTGAGAAGGCAGGATGGGAACCACCGCTGCCCAAAGGCAGCGCACTTGAGCAACAGGCAGGGAAATTCTTGCCACTGCTGTCCAAGTGGATGCCCCCAGAGCCTCGGGTCTCCCACACTCAAACTTGGCTGGCACTGGGAAAGGGGGAATGCCTATAGGCGGAGAATCTCAGCCCTGACAAATCTGCATACCCAAGGCCTCTGGTGCTGCAGAACTGAGTTACAGGGTGAGCACCCCAAATCTCCTGGCAGCCAGAGACTGGGCATGAATTTTTGGGGCAGCACCTTGGATTTGTGAGCACAGCTCCACTCATTCAGCAAATAGTTAACAGTGCTGTGTACCAGGCCTGTGTTGTTTGCAGCAGTGATAAGATAGACAAGTTCCACCCTCACTGAACTTAACATTCTAGCTGGAAAAAGAAACAGTAAACAATACACAAGATCATCACAGGCCACTGAGTGCCTGGAAGGAAGTAAACAAGATGATGTATGTGAGTGTCAAAAGGGCTTAAAGATAGTGTAGGCAGGAAGGTCTGTATGGGGAGGTCACCTCTGAGCTGACACCCCAGGATGAGGAGCCAGCCACATGAAAAGCACTCTAGAAGGAACAGCAAGTACTAAAGCTCAGAGGCAGGAAAGGAATTAAACAAGCCTTAGCAATTAAGAGCCCAGTATAGCTAGAGCTTGGTGGGGGTGGGGTGGGGAAGTGCAATCAATTAGAAAGGAGATAAGAACAAAATCATGCAAAAAAGGAGTTGCTCATGTATTAAGAGCCTCCGAACTCTAATAAGACTTTCACTGCATGGTGACAGTGACATTTTCTGATTTATGCTCAGAAATTTCAGGCAGGGTACTATCACAAGACAGCCAGCAGTCTGTGTCTCCAGGAGTATGGGGTTTCCTAAAGCTGGTACTTGGACAAGGGCCAGGCAGTTCTATCAAAACTGCCAGGGAAACGTGTTACAGCCACAGTGTTCTGGATCTTCACCCTGGAGCCGCTGATTGAGAGCATCCAAGTTGCACCTGGGACCTTTCTTTTTTGAACACATGCTCCCCAGAGATTCCTGCATGTACCTGGAGTCCCTTTTTTGGAGAAGTGTGCCTATAAACGCCAGGTGTACCTCAGGCAGATGCACATATAACTTCTATGCCGGGGAGGTGAGGTGATTACAGTGGGCATGATCTGTGGTGCCCTCCTGAAGAGAAGATCTAGCCAAAAAACCACATGGTGCCACAAACACAGGTCCTGGAAAGTAAGCCAGCAGCTTCTCTTTGCTGTAGGTCCCCGTCTGGGCAACTCACCGGTGCCAAGCATTGTGCAGTGTTTGGCGAGGAAAGACGGCACGGATGACTTCTATCAGCTGAAGGTAAGTGAGACACCTAACCGGGAAGCTCAGGGTCCAGGGGCCGCCCTGTCAGCCTGAATCCTCCCCTCTCCACCTTCATACCTGCCCCACTTGTGAACAAGAGTAGCACCGTTTCTTCCCAGGAAGCAATCAAGTTCACACAGTCTCACTCGGAACGACTTGATTTCAAGAGCTTTATCTGTGCATAAATTACACTGCTGTCACATTAAGAAAAACTTCTGTTTCGTGTGTGCATGTGTGAGTGTGTGTGTGTTGGGGGGGGTGTTGCATGGTGGGACATGAACCCCCTGCTTTTCCTGTTCTCCTCGCTCTGCTTTCTAAAGTGTTTTTGGTTTTACTTTGTTTTTTGTGTGTGTGTGTCTTCCTAAAGATCCTTACCCTTGAGGAGAGGGGGGACCAAGGAATAGAAAGCCAAGAGGAAAGGCAAGGCAAGATGCTGTTACACACCGAGTACTCTCTGCTTTCCCTCCTCCACACGCAGGATGGCGTGGTTCACCACCATGGGCTCTTCCAGGTGAGTGGCAGAGGGCGCGCCCTGCCCTCCCAACCCTTGGTGCCCCCGCAGGCTGGGTGCATCAGGCTTCCTGGGCAGGCGGGCAGGCGGGCAGGAGGTCCGCCCGGGGCTGGGCTAGCACTGCAGCCCTCTGCTTGACGGTCACCGTGGCGAATAACCCGCAGCTTATGCTTTTCCAAGAAAAGAGGAAAGCAGGAAGTCGTTTAAAGACACGGGCTGTGGCTGTGTTGTCAGGAATTAGCTCGGCTAGGGTCAAAGGGAGGGCAAGGAGGAAGACTAGGCACTCGGTGCTGCCTGTAGGTCTCCACAGTTGTTTCGGTGCCAGCAGTCCTTTTACTTGCTCAGGCATTTTAGTTTGTTCCACAGTGTCCCTGGTGCTTGCGTGTACCAGGACCCTGAGGAGAGGTACTAGCTAGCAACTTGTACCCTGAAAAGAGCCCTTCTGCAGACAGGACTGAAATTGTGTCTGTAAAATGAAGAACCAGGTTCAGAATGCCCAGGGGCCTCAAGCTCAGGCTCTGGCAGCACCTCTGCACAGCCCTGAGCCAGGCTGCTGACCGGGCTGCCCCTTGCTAAGATGGAGCTGGAATTTCAGAGGCAGATGGTATCAGGGAGGGCATCCAGACTTTGGGACCGACAATCCTGGGTTCAGGTTGTGGTGGTCCCGGCCCCTAAGCCCCCAATTCCTCCTCTGTAAAGTGGGAATAGTAATGGTGCCCACCTCGGAAGGTGCTGGGAAAGATGACTGAAAAGTGCCCAATAGCACGCTACCCCGAGATGCTCTCGTCATTATTCCTGGCAATAAAAACTTGTCCGCCTGATTTTCTGAGATGAATAGAAAATGCCTCTACTCACACACATGGGCCCTACCAGAGGCAGTTCATTATCATTAGGCAACTCCAAAAATTGGTTTCCCTTCAAGATGAACTCAAATTGAGGGGGATTGTGATTTCTTAGTATTTCATCTCTGACAAGCTTCCAAAGCTTGGCCTTGGTTTTTGTCATTTTGGGAAGGAGAACCTGGATGATTAACAGTATTTCTAGACTCATCTGTGTTTCAGACTCTGGGCTGGTCCTCTCGGAGATCGAGACTAAGAGACCTGATCCTGCTTTAAGGGGAAAAATGATATTTGGTCCTCAGGAGTTCCCCAGTGGCCACAGTCAGCCTGCTGGGGATGAGACCAAAGGCTTCTTCAAGCTAGTAGGACCCGATTTTGCCTTACTTGAGATCCTTTTCAGTAAGGAAATGGATCCAGAACTCGCAAGCCTCCTTAATGAGCCCTGGCTGGGACAGGACTAATCACTTGGTTGTCTTATTACTCTCTCAACAACCTGTGAGGTAGGCATTGCTGGCTCCCTTTTACAGAGGAGCAATGAGCGACTTGATGGGGTGAGCAGAACTGCCCCAGGTCCCACAGCTAGGACAGGGCATTGCTGGGGTGTGAACCCAGTTGTCACAGGCCACTGCCACTTTTAACCACTGTTACATGGCTGCCCAGAAGCCTGGCTTCCATGTGAAGGCAGTTCTTGGATGCACAAAACACTTGACCTCTTCCGTCATGGACATTGGAAGGAAGTTTACACTGGTCATTACTGGAATTCCCAGGAGTGTGATAGACGGGGGAGGATGTACAGGGCCCTGAGTTTGCTGCCTGCACACTGAGCTCAAAGTCCCTTTGGCTTTAAATGCCCATTCCTGATCCAGAATCTCTGTATTAGGAACCAAGCGCGAAGCCTGAACCCTTGCTGATTTAACTTCAGCCACCGACTAGGCTATTCTGAACAGCCCGTGGTCCATGCTGCCTAGGCCTTAGGCATCAACCGCTCCACCACCCCATATACAGCTTGTTCCAAACTCTCACTGGTCTGTGCTGCGTTCCAGATGAGAGCCCCAAGCCCCGTCCTCGCAGGGCCTACAGCTCAACCCTGGTCCACTCCCTTCCTTCCCAGGACCGCACGTGTGAAATTGTTGAGGATACAGAATCCAGCCGAATGGTTAAGAAGATGAAAAAGCGAATCTGCCTTGTCCTAGACTGCTTGTGTGCGCACGACTTCAGCGACAAGACTGCTGACCTGATCAACCTGCAGCACTACGTCATCAAGGAGAAGAGGCTCAGTGAGCGGGAGACCGTGGTCATCTTTTATGACGTGGTGCGCGTGGTGGAAGCCCTGCACCAGGTGAGCCCCACTCCCCTGTAGCCCATCCTCTGGCCCAGGGCATCCTGGGTCCCCCTGACAAAGGCCTCTGGGCCCCACATAATGCAGAAAGCCACCTTCTTACTGAAGCTCAGTGGGAGCAGCTCTTTCCTGCCTTCACCCAGAGGTGCTTTACAGCTAAGAGTGTTCAGAGGAAAGCAGAGTGACATGTGCACCAGATGAGGCCCAGCACTCCAGCCCCAGCCCAGCTCCCAGGGAGCACTCCAGGGCAACTGAGCAGCACAGTAATTCCCCGTCAGAAAGGTTAAACTATAGTTCCAGCTTGGGGGACAACAATGAAATAGCCACCCGACTGGCCACAGCCTGTCTAAACTTTTCCCAGGATTAGGGGTGAAAGGTACCCCAAGGCACAAGTTAGAAGGGCCTGGACCTCTTCGAGGGCCAGTTTCTACAGGCCCATCCCCAGAATCTTGAAAGTTCATTGCTGACCCCAGATCCAGCAGATGCTTCTTTGATGTGTGATGTTTGGTGGAGTAGAAGAGAAGAGAGGGGTGGTTTCCTCATCAGCTGCCCTGAGGGAGGACAAGCTGGGAAACCTCCCTGGGTGGGGTGGAGACTGCCCGGGCTCCCATATTACCCAATTCGTCACCTGGCTAATGAGGCCTCAGCATGGTCCTGATCTGCCTGTGGCTTACAGATCAAAGCACGACACTAAAGAGACATATCCTGGCACTTTTCCTGCCTTCCCAAATACCTGGAGTGCCCCCATCTTACAGGCTAGCCGAGTGCCACCACAGCTCTCACCTTCATGGAACAAACCACGTACCTCTTGTTTTCCAGAAAAACATTGTGCACAGAGACCTGAAGCTTGGGAACATGGTGCTCAACAAGAGGTAAGGTTTGCCTTTCTTCTTCCGTGGTTCCTCATGGGGATCTGACCCCAACAGCTTCTTCTCCCAGGAATCCCAGCAGGAGGGATGGGGTATCTGCTTCTGTCTTCTGCCCTATGGGAATATGGTACCACTAAGAATGGGAGTCTTGAAGGCCATAGAAGGAACTGTGGGAATGGGTTCAGATTTCAGAGCCCCCACCCCCCATGCCATCCATTTGTCAGGCCTCACGTGCTCTCAGTGAGAAAACTGAGGCCATGCTTTGGTGAGTTCTGAGAATATTGAGATGTCCGTGCAGACTTACTAGAGGGTGCTCTCAGGGAGAAGGAGGTGTGACTGACCTGAGGTGTGGTCATGACAGGACATCGTGGGAGCCTGATGTCCCACATCAGGGTAGGGGGTATGGGGTGCTGTGCCCTGACTGTGACCTGCCAGTGAATGTGGGCTGTGTTGGGGTGGGGCATAGCCTTGACCAAGGGGGCTTCCTGGAAAAGAACAAGGTGCAACTGGACAGAGCCAGCACTCCCAGCCGTGGGAAGGAATGATCTTGCAATCGTGGAGGGGATCTGGGCTCACCCCAGTGTCCTCGGTGAACCAGTGACAGAGGGAGACCACGTGAGGTCCCTGCCTCAGGCTCTCACCCTATCCCATTCAGGCACAGCATCTGAGCCCTTCCCCAGTGATCCGGGGCAGCACCAGAGGATCACCAGCCAGGCATGGCAGAGGCTTAGGAGCAACAGGAAGAGGCCCCTCTCTATGCGCCACCTCCACCCTCAAAGCGCAGAACTGAGAGGGCACATCTCCCTCACCTGCTCCCCTGAGCCTCTCACCCTGCCCCTCATCTGTTAGAGTGAGCCGGAGGGCTCACCAGTGGCAGGCAGGCAGGCAGAAGGAGTTGGTGGGATTTGTTCCATAATGGGTTGCCGACGCTGGCAGGTCCACTGTCCAGTGAAATGCCCAAAGGCACAGTGAAAAGGAAACTGCAGGGAGATGGGCCTCTGGAAAGGGGTTTGGGGGCCCCAGCTCCTGCAGCGCCAGCCTGAGAAGCTAGCAGGACATTGCTGTACCTCAGTGCATCTCCACGTGTCCAGGAACCCAGCATCCGACAGGGCACTGGCCAGAAAGCGGAGAGCACCGTTTGGGGGTCGGCGTGTGGAGCGGAGGGGCAGCATCTCTGCCATCTGAATCAGTTCATGAAAGATGAGTCAAGATCTGCCAGGCTGAGAAGTGATGAAAATGTGACCTGTCGTGCTCTACAGGGAGAAGGGAAGGGAACGGAAATTCCAGGGTTGCTCCAACTCTGCACTGTTTGAGAGAGTTAGTGAAGGAGGAGAGGGACAGGACTTGGGTCACCCTGGCTTGCAGCCCAGAACTGCCTCATAAATACCCTTGAGACCATGAATTCATTCATTCATGTGCTGAGAAGCTGCTGTCGCAAAGCTTCCATTTCCTCACCTATGAAGGTGGAGGTGGTTCTCCCTCCCTGCAGAGATTAGCCTGAGACATGAAACTGCCTGACAGGGTTGGCCTGTCATAAGCGCATTCCCATACTAGACCTGCCGGGGACTGGAGGCCCACTGTTTGGGGGTGGCTGAGGGTGCCCCGGCCCCAACTCTGAATGGTGCCAGGAGGCTGACTGTCCCCTCCCTGAGAGCACATTGTCTAAGAGTCAGGAGACTTGGGGCCTGGCCTTCTGCAGGAAGTTAGGCCAGTCACCATCCCACTGTCCGCAATTCACTGTGCACAGAGGGCACATCAGTCCTCTGGCTGCTGAGCGCATGACCTCCCCAGCCCTCTGTGCAACTGTGGCTCTAAATGAGCATCCCCTGTGTGTCACAGAAACACACAGTTGAGGCTCCCAGCTGCTAACCCCACCAGCACTCAGGGACCTTTGTCTCCCTGAGGGTTTATTTCCAGTACCATTTTTCCAGGCCTCCAGGTTCTGGGAATGTAGTCAAAAGGTCACACCTTTCAAGTATGGCCAGTGTAGCTTAGTGACTCTGCTGTGTGGTGTGTGTCTGTCTCTGTGTGCACATGGACATGCATGTGTTCATTTGTTTGTGTCCTTTTCTTAGAGGTCTAATTGGCTTTATTAAATGATTCATGGATTAGGCGGCATCCCATCTAAGTGCCACAAGGACCTGCACAAAATGGAGGCTGTTTGTAGACTGAAATGCCTGTGTGTGCACATGCGTGCACGTGTGTGTGTGGTGTGCATATATGCTGTGCACATGTGTTTCTCAGGTTGCAGAGCACCAATACCTGCGTCTTGGCTGCACTCCCTTTAGTCCAATAATCCCTTTGTCCTGCGGCAGTCAGAGGTCCGGCCTCCTGTCATGTTCGTCATGGGTGCTCCAGGAGGAAGCAGGGTGGTATGGGGCAGGGATGGCTGGTGCCCAATGATGGCTGGTGCCTGCTCCACACCCCCTACTCCAGGACCTCACTTTCATCCCTGGAAGTTGAAGATTGATCTGGAGGAGGGGGCGCACCTTCCTGCCCTGGTAGTGTGCCCTTGCCCCAGCCGGAGCTGCAGCAGACACGCTAGAAGCCTTGTCTACCCCCGGGGAGGACACAGGGAGATGTGTTTGTGAGGCAGCTGCCAAGGACGAGTTCATTCACCCTGCTTTGGATAAAAGACAAAGGTTGAAATCTGAAATCCCCTTTTGGGGTTATGTGAGGTTTGCTGTGGGTTCTTTCTCCTTCCACCTTGCTTTGGGTAGGCAAGTTGCACACCAAGTTCCTAGAGAAGGAGAAAAACACTGCGGTAGCCCAGAGGGCCATATCTAAAGAATGACTCACTCAGAGCAGCTCCTGTTGACGCACAGCTCTCTCCCAGGAGCCCTCGCTGCCAGGACAAGACTGGGGGGTCTGGGACACCCGGTGATCTGTGCACACCCAGCCATCTTGGATGCATGTGGTGGGAGTTGGTGGCAGTGCAGGGAGCGCAGCCAAGCTCCAGGAGGTCTCAAGGCTGACCATGTGGTTTCCTCTGGGAGAGACCAGCCTCCTCCGCAGCCACACAGCACAGGCCTGCTCAGAGCTATGTCCCTGCACTACAGAGTCTCAGCTACCTTCTTCTCAAGCCCCGCCTGCCCTGCCCTGGGCACAGAGGGTCAGAAGGTCATGCCAGCAGCATCGAGCAGAAAGCTGAGCCCACACACCCTTGTGGATTGTTGTTACAGTGTGACCCCTCACACCTGCCACCTCGGACGTGGTGTCTTTGTTGGGGTCTCCCATTGGCAGCCTCTGCCGGACCCCCCCTACCGTCTGAGGAGGGATGAGGATATAAGCTTGTCACCATAAGTAATCAGTTACTACTTGCCAGTTGCTGGGCCCAGTACTTTTCCTGGGATGGTCTTATCTTGTTAAAGCCTAACACAGTCCCAGGATCTAAGTGCTAATATTTTCCCTGTTATACATATGATGGAACTGAGGTTAGAAAAAGAAAAAATAGTGGGCCTCCCTGGTGGCGCAAGGGATTAAGAAACAACCTATGAGGCTGTCCGCAGGCACTGCAGCACAAGTTCGATCCCTGGCCAGGGAGCTGCCCACATGGCGCAGCAGACCTCTCCTGACTCGCCCGCTGCTCCCCTCAGCAGTGTACTTCAGTCACTCTGCCTGTTCTGTTCCCCACTCTGTCCTGTTCCCCACCCCATCTCTGGTGAATTCTCTCACCGCCCCCCACCTCTGGCCTGTACCCCAGTTCTTATATGCATAAGTAAATCTTAAAAAAAAAAAGGAAAAATAGCATGGCCAAGGTCACACAGCCAGGAGTGGCCAGGCTGGGACAGAAACCCAGGAATCTGACCCCCAAGTCCCCTGGACTTCCTGAGCCATCCTCCCACGTCTGGCGCCTCGGAGAACACATTCCAGCCGCAAGTGGCCATCTCTCACTGGGGAGCAAGCACAGTGTTGCTGCTCAATGGGGACATCCGGCCAAGAGGCCTGAGTAGTTCCACGTTCCACAATGACATGGAAGGTCAGAGCTGGAACAGGCCACTTCTTGGTGTACAAGTATCCCTGACAGAGACACTGCCTACCCCCCGGGACTCTAGCCACCTTAGAGGCCACCAGTCAGATTTCTGTGCCATCTGACCAGACAGGCCTGTATGGAGAGCTAGAGTCAATGTTTCCGTTTGGAAGGCAGAGGACAGACTGGCCTTTGTTTTGCACCAGGCAAGATCTGCCAGCAGAATTCCCCAAGATAGCAAAGGGCTCTCAGAGCCTCTTGGACACCACGCCTGGGGAATTCCACCCTCAGCCACACATACCCGAGGCCCCTGAGCTGAGCTTCCTCTCCAACCTGAGACTTTTCTAGCGAGAGGTGGCCCAGGGCCCTCATGGGGCTTCCCTTCCTGCCATCCCCCCTGGCTTTTCTGCCCTGCTGGCTGACAAGGGAGCACGCCTTTGAGGTGGGGGTGTCCTTTCTCTCAGGTCCTTCCCCGAGGTGAGGAAACCTTCCCTGGGCCTCTTCAGGGGGGCCTGCCCACCCGCCTTCCTGGGTAGGGAGTAAGGCATCCTCTCTGGGCCACTTATTTTGTTCATATTGTAAGCTTCCTAGAAAGGGTCATAACCCATAGCCACTCTGACTAAGTCTTGAGTTGGGGGAGTGCCTGGTTTCTAAGTCAGGGCAGAGTCTAAAGTCCAAGACAAGATGAGTCAACTTGGATGGGGCAGAAGGGAAAGTTAGGCCCCAGGCACTCTTCACGGACACAGTGGGTACCCAGCAGGGGTCAGCCCAGAGTACAGGCTGGGTTTGGGTCCTGCTCCACCACTCGGCAACCGCTTGATCCTCAGCTTGGCCTCCTTTTGTCCGTGCCAGGTCACATCACCTGGGAAATAGCTGGGCAGTGAGAATGCCCCTCCCCTGCTGCTGTGAGGCAGGTGGAAGGTTGCGTTGGGAGCAGCCCCCAAGTGCTCAGCGAGCTGTAGCATCGCGCTCGGCCAGGACTCAGCAGAGGGGAACTGAAGTCATACCTGAGCGTGCTGCACAGTCCAGCGGCCTGCCTTTTGCTCACGTGTAATGGGGGAATTGAACAAATCTCAGGTTGTTTCCAATGTGGGCATTAATGTGAGGTCATTTTGGGAAGTCTCTGCAAGCTATCCCCAAGTCCTAAGCCAGGGTAACAGGTTCAGAGGGCACTCCTGAAACACCTACTTGGTCACAATGACTCAGATCCCTGCCAGAACAGCTCCAGGGGTGGCATCCCAGGGTGACTGGCCTCTGTCAACACCCTTGGTGGCACTCTTCATGCAGCCATACTGAGGGCCAGGGAGCAGAAACGGCTATGGGCATGATCCCTTAGCTTCCTGGACGAGGGGTAGGGGCAGCCAGGGCACCCAAGGGTATAGACACAGAGGTTTGCTCACTCTCTGCCTCTCGCTCCAGGACGCATCGGATAACCATCACCAACTTCTGCCTCGGGAAGCATCTCGTGAGTGAGGGGGACCTGCTGAAGGACCAGAGGGGGAGCCCCGCCTATATCAGTCCAGATGTGCTCAGCGGTATGTGCATGGTGCCAAGCTCTGCAGCATTTCCTTCATGCCACAAACCAGGGACATGACTTTAGTAGTGGGCCAAACTGGGACCCTACCTCCTGCTACAAAGTTTGGGGTCTCATGGAGGAAGAGAACATTGTCACACTCTGCAGGTTTGCACTCTGTGATTATTGCTTAGAAGGAAAGAAACATGATTTCTGTGAGCACAAATAACTGGCACTCAAAGGACTTCCCTGAAGAAGTCACTTTTGGGCGGAGATTGTAGGAGAAATAGGAATCCATTAAGGTGTGTGGCTGGGCAGAGGTGGCACAGAAACCCATGGGTGGCTGCTGCTCAGAAAGTGAGCCTGATTCAGGGGAAGCCAGAGAGGTGGGCAGTGCCAGCCCACACCAGGCCCCGGGGAGGTCCTGTTGAGAAACACCATCCTTTATCTCAAGCGCGGGGGGAAGCCACTCACCAGGTCCTCACTGAGTGCCATGGTAAGATTCTCATTTCAGAGACTTAACTCCCTTTGTTCGTTGGTCCAGTCATTCTGCTGGTATTTTCTGGGGTCCTACTGTGTACAAGACACTGTTGTAGACACTTTGGATACAGCAGTGAGCAGGCACACAAACATCCCTGCCTCCTTAGAGGTGAGCTGACTTTCTAAGAGCTGAGACAGGTAATACACAAACGAATAAGTTACTTGTGTACTTCTTACCTACTGCCCACATCACTAAGTCCCAGGCACTGTGTGAACACGAGATTTGTGCTGTTAAACCACACAGCTACCCTGTGAGGGAAATATTCCAAGTCTCTTCTTTACACAGGAGAGGGAGAGAACACATCTCTTATTCAAAGTCATAGTTAAGAATAAACTAGTAGGGGCCTCCCTAGAGGTGCAGGGGGTTAAGACACAACCTGTGAAGCTCTCCACAACCACTGCAGCACAAGTTCAATCCCTAGCAGGCCAGGGAGCAACCCACATGGCACAGCAGACCTCTCCCTGACTCGCCCACTGCTTCCCTCAGCAGTGTCTTCCGTCCGTCTGCCTGTTCTGTTCCCCACTCGGTCTCTGGTGAATCCTCTCACCCTCCACACCTCTGGCCTGTACCCCAGTTCTTGTATACATAAATAGATAAATCTTAAAAAAAAAAAAAAAAAAAAGAACAAACTAGTAGCTTGAGGGCTCCATCTTAGGTCTGCCTCCTGCCTAGCTGACTGTAGGCTTTTTCTCTCCCTTCCCCCTTGGCACCCCAGCAGAGGCTTCTGCTGGAATTCAGACCTCTCCTGGGGCTTCCTATGTGCAGAGCGAGTGGTGCCACTTCCCAGGCCTGGGGATTTTGGTTGGGGTCACTGCAGCCTCTGCTAGAGAGATCTGGATGTGGGATGTACCCTAATTCTCCATCTCCCAGCCCAGCCTGTATGCTCCAGGAGAGTCCCCAGAGCCACACTGTAGGTGACAGAGCCAGGAGGATGAAGTAGTAGGTCCTTCCCTCAGCCCAGGTCTGTGAGGTGGAGTCTGTGTTGGTGTCAGGCCCAGGGGAGGAGGGCTGACTCCTCAGCAGTGCCAGGCTATGGTGGCCTCCATGGCCTCTCTCTGGTCAAGTCTTGCAAGATGAAGCAAAGGAACCTGCATCAGAAAGAGCCCTACACTGAGAGGCCAGCGATCTGGGCTCTACTGAACCAGCTGTGTGACTTGGCCTTCTCTGAGCCGCAGTCTCCTCCTGGGCTAAAAGCTGAAGACAGCCCTCCCTCCCGCAGTGTTAGGAGAATGGAGTGGAATGATTAAGTGTAAGTGCTGATATGTGGGCTGCAATACCACTTTGATATTCTGTGCATCAAGCACAGCCCTGGGCACTGGACGTGGAGCTACAAAAAGGCAGACGTGCTCTTGTGCTCATGGGGTTTATAGTCTGGTTAATACCTGGGTGACCTTAGGAAAGTTAGTGATCTCCCTTGGCCTCAGTTTTCTCATCTATAAAATGGTCGTGATAAAATGCCCTACTTCAGTGGGTCCCTGTGGGATTAAGATCTTTTACCTAGTGTCTGGCTCAATGAACATTGGCCTCACAAAAAGAAAAGCTTGAAGCTCTGTGATCTCAAAAGCTGAAATTCAGGGAAAGGTCGCCTGCCAGTTAGAGCTTCTGGGAGAGCCTGTCTTTATCATCCCTTTCCAAGTCAGGACTGAAGTTCTGGGTCTCTCCCTGTGGACTGGCCCAGGCCAAGAGTCCACACACACATACTGCACCCCCCAGGCAACAGCACCCTCCCTCCTTGGCCCATGATCCTATCTTAGGCAGGAAACACCTCCCAGCTGCTGCAGAGGAGGAGGGGCAGGCCCTTCTGGAAACCATACAGAGCAAGAGTTGTGACTTGATGGACTCCGCATTGAGGACCCATGTGGTAGAGTGGGGTCATGGGGAGCGACTGCCCTTGAGTGACTAGGGCAAGCTGCACCAGGTCACCCAAGCCGCTCTCGGTCTTTAAGGGTTGGAAAGGGTCAGGGGTAATGCAGCCTTGGAGAAAGCTTGGCAGAGGCTCATCTCCACAACACTGCTTCTATGCCAGCCGGGGCAGAAACTGACTCCCACAGCAGCCTGCTAGAGCTGTACAGATGAAGTACAGGTTCAAGGAGGGAGGCCTGTGGGGCCTTCAAAAGGCACAGGCCAAGGCCTATAATGGTATTGTGTACACATGCACATGTGCGGGCACACACGCAGGCACATGCACACATACACACACGTGCACGCACACTACACTGCTTCACCTTCAGGGGTACTGGAGTCCTTTAGACCCAATGTCCCTGCCACAAATGCACCTTCAGGCCATCCTGGAGGCTGAGGGATACAGAGGAGGGATTGTAGTTGTCGGGCACAGTCCGGTACCCAAGGGGATGACGTGCAGGCCCATCCTCTCTCCTGACACTGGGCTGAGTGTGTGTGTGTTCATGTGCCCACAGGCCGGCCGTACCGGGGCAAGCCGAGCGACATGTGGGCCCTGGGTGTGGTGCTGTTCACCATGTTGTACGGCCAGTTCCCCTTCTACGACAGCATACCGCAGGAGCTCTTCCGCAAGATCAAGGCCGCCGAATACACCATCCCTGAGTGAGTCCTGCCTCCCTGGGGCGGCGGGAGGGAGGCCCAGCCCTTTCGGCTCGAGGAGTGGGGACAACACAGCGAGGCTCGGAGTCCTGGGTAGGAGCCCCAGCACCAGCCCACCCACCTGAGCCCTCTCCTTCTCCTGCGTCAGGGATGGGCGGGTTTCCGAGAACACCGTGTGTCTCATCCGGAAACTGTTAGTCCTCGACCCCCAGCAGCGCCTCGCTGCCACCGACGTCCTGGAGGCCCTCAGTGCCATCATTGCATCATGGTGAGTGGGCGGCGCTGGGCCGGGTTCTGCCCATCCCATCCAAAAAAGCAGCCTAAGGGTGGGCCTGTTAGTCTGCTGTCAGATTTCCAGATTTTTTGACATGGGCAAGATTGGGAGAGTAAAGGCAGGACTCAGGTCAAGCATCTCCTGCATGCCAGTGGATACCAGCTATGGGATGGGCATTAGCTCACCATGTTACCACAGACTGTGAGGTAGAAATGGTGCCCCTTTATTGGATAAGAAAACTGCAGCTCAGGGCCTCCCTAGTGGTGCGAGGGGTTAAGCACCTCACTATGAAGCAATCCGCAGCCTCTGCAGCATGAGTTCGATCCCTGGCCAGTCAGGGAGCAACCCACATGGCGCAGCAGACCTCTCCTGACTCGCCCTTTGCTCCCCTCAGCAGTGTATTTCAGTCAGTCTGCCTATTCTGCTCCCCACTCTGTCTCTAGTGAATCCTCTCACACACACACACACACCCCCATCTCTGGCCTATACCCCAGCTCTTATATGCATAAGTAAATAAATCTTTTAAAAAAAAAAAAGATTTATTTATTTGTACAAGCACTGCGTACAGTCAGAAGTGCAGGAGGGTGAGAGAATTCACCAGAGCCAGAGCAGAGAACAGAACAGGCAGACTGACAAAGTACACTGCTGAGGGGAGCAGCGGGTGGCAGGAGAGGTCTGCGCGCCATGTGGGACCCTCGCCCAGCAGCCAGGGATAGAACCAGCGCTGCAAAGGCTGCGGGCAGCTTCGCAACCCAGCGCTCAACCGCTGCGCCACCGGGGAGGCCCAATAAATAAATCTTTAAAAAAAAAAAACTGCAGCTCAGAGAAGCCAGGTCAGTCATGTCAGAAAGGAGCTGTTGACTCCAAACAAGTCTGGAAGCTGTGGGCACCTGGCCTTGCTGGGCTCCTAATAGCCCGGCCTAGGGAGCAGGGGTCCTGGAGCCAGGCTGACTTATCTGCCTCCCTGCAGGCAGTCTCTGTCATCCCTGAGTGGCCCTTTGCAAGTGGTTCCTGACATCGACGACCAAATGAGCAGTGCAGACAGCTCCCAAGAGGTGAGTGTGAGACAGGCCCTCACCCAGGGGCAGAGGAGCAGCTTCTGGCAGACCACTGGGCCTCTTTGCCTGCTACCCAGCCTTGGCACAAAAAAAGTGAGACATAAATCCTCAGCCTGGGCCATACCCTGTGTCTGGCTCAGTAGGCAGTTCTGTGGCCTAAGAGCGGGCTGTGGGACAGCTGAGGAGGAGGCCTACAGCAGGAAGGCCTCCCCATGGCCCAGCCTGGCCCCTTCTTAGCTTCCTTTCCCTGCCCAGGCCCTGACTCTGCACGTGCTAGCCCTTTAAACAGTCACATTTCTCTGCCCCTCTGACTCACAGGCTTCTCTCTCACCCTTCCTGCTTTTCATTTTTTCAGATGATTCATTTTCTCCTAGTTTTCTCTCCTCCCCTGTTCTCTGCACTGAAGAAAGTGCTGGGCCAGGGTGGGGGCCGAGAGCTAAGTGCTAAACAGCACCTGGCAGGGGTGCCCCCTGGAGGCAGGGCCTGGCCCAGCGAAGGGATGCTGAAAGGCCCTCCCTTCTCTGGCTTCTCTGAAGTTCCAAGCACTGGGCAGTTACAACCAGAAAGGACAAGTCTGGAACCACAACATAGGCTCCTGGCTCTTGAGAAGAAAGTTCTAGGTCCTACCCCACAGTTCCCACCCTCTCCAAGGGCAGTTCAGCAACTAAAATAAATCACCCCTAGCATGCCATGAGTGCATCTCACACAGTTCTCACTATAGGCCTGTGTGGCCTTTGTTTTTTGCCTAGTTTTACAAAAAGGGAAACTGGGGTTCAGAGAAATATGCAATTCTCCAAGTCACACAGCTTGCAAGTAGTGGGGCTGAACCCTGACCTCAAGTCTGATTCCAAAGCCCTGCTTTCCCTTTCGCTGAGCCCTGCAAGGACCTGGCACTTCAGCTTATTACTCTCTGACTGGGCCAGTCCAGGGAGCTCAGCACTCGACAAAGAGAAAAAACAGGGTCTCCTGGGTGCTATGCACCCCAGCTCTTAACACTTGACAGGCCCTGGCTCCCCAGGGGTTTGAGAACCCCTAGGAGATTACTGCCCCACTTCACAGGCGAGGAGGCCAAGACTTCTGAGGTAACGTGCCGTCTCCCAAGGTCAGTAAAGTTAGGAAGAGGAGCATGCAGCTCAGATCACAGATCTGTGCTTCAGCAGCGCAGGCTCCAGGTTTGGAGGGCTCCAGAGGAGACCCACACTGTCAGCTGCCTGATTACAGGCCTAAGGGTGTGGCACCCAGGGAGGGAGGCCTCAGGACCAGGCTGTCCCTCACTCACTGCCCTGCTCTTCGCTCCACCTCTCCCTCTCCTCCCACGCAGGCCAAGGTGACAGAGGAGTGCTCCCAGTACGAGTTTGAGAACTACATGCGGCAGCAGCTGCTGCTGGCCGAGGAGAAGAGCTCCATCCACGAGGCCCGGAGCTGGGTGCCCAAGCGGCAGTTCGGCAGCGTGCCGCCAGTGCGACGGCTTGGCCACGACGCGCAGCCCATGAACCCCTTGGACGCAGCCATCCTGGCACAGCGCTACCTGCGGAAGTAGCCTCAGGCAGGGGCACCACCCGCCACCTCTTCCAGCCCCCAGTCAGTGTCCTGGCTGTCGGGTCTGTAGTGCTGAACTCTCTCCCAGGCTGCAGCAAGGACAGGCAGGCCAGCCCAGGTCACACATGGGGTCAGCAGAGGTACCACGAAGCTACCTTTTGGAATGATTGCTTGATTGTTTGGTTTTTAATCTGAGAATCCTAGATAACTAATCTGCTTTTAATCATGACGTTTTAATCTACCTCTGTCTCTTTAACCATGCTGTCTCTGGACTGAGTGAGAGGGAGGAGGAGGGAGCCCGCCTGCCCACCCAGGGGCCTGGTCAGCCACCCTGCCCACCTGACCCACCCGGGGCAGCTGCGCCCTACAGTCCAAATAAGCTGAAAGTGCAGCTCAGTGCTGGCTCCCAAATGATACCCACCCCACTGCTCTCCCAGGCCTCTCCCACAGTCTGTTTTCGTCCCTAGGCCCCTCAGTCCAAGCTTTGGGAAACCTTCACCTCATCTTAAGCGGAATTCAAATATATTTATTTTTGTACTGAAATCACCTCCTTTCCCGTCTCTAGGTGGCTCAGCCTATGGGTACTCCCTGCCCCCAGCCTGTCTGGAAGCAGGGTGTTCACGGCCCACAGATGGCCCCTTCTCTCCCCCAGGCTCAGAGAAGCCCTTTCTTGCCGGCCCCTCCACCTCCAGCCACCAGTCCCTCTTTGTTTCTGGTGATGGGGAGACCTTTCTAGACCTGGTTCTTTTCTCCATCTCAGTAGCTTCTCTGAGGTGCTGTTCACTTGCATTAACCCTGACCTCCCTCCCCACCCTTCACCGTGGTACCGTGGTAACGCTGACAGAGACGTGGGGGGTACCTGGTGGTGGGGCTGCCCGAGAACAGGTGGCCCAGTTTGCACACCCTCCCCACAAGAGAACACCCGACTCTGTTCAAAGAAGGTGGGGGCATTGCCCCTGCCTCATAAAAGATATGGTGTCTCCCAGTGGACCCTGGGGGTGGGAGCTTTTGGGGAGCGGGAGGGGGCCCTGCCTGGTTTGAGAACAGCCCTGCTGCCCTTTTTGAGCCGAGATTTTGAAGTGGATGCCCGTCTTGCCAGAAATGCTGTTCTCACCAGAACGCCCTCCGCTCCCACTCCCCCTCACTGGACTTGACCCTGCCCCCCGACCTCGGAGAGGCCAGGTGTACCCCTCCAGGAAGCCCTGGGTCCTCAGACCCTGCCTGCCTGTCCTTGCTCCCCAGTGGGGGGTGACCAAGGCCTCCAGGACCTTGTTTCCCAGAGTGTGAGCTGTCCCCTCCCCAAAAGCTGACTCACTGTGAGTGACTTGGGCAAGTTCCCAAACCTCCTTGTGCCTCAGTTTCCCCATCTGGAAAAAATGGGGCCACCTCTTGCCAGCAGTAGCAGGGCCACCCACGCCCCTTCATCCCCATGCCCCCATCCCAGCACTTGGGCGTCTCGTGCCTCTGCCTCAGTGGGCCTGTGGGAGCCCACTTGAGCCCAGCCCAGCACTTATACCCCTGAGCTCCCGGATCTGCCTCCATCAGCAGTACAGCCGCTGAGAGCCAGGGTCTCGTGCTGTGGGGGTAGGGGATGCCCTCTTTTCTATTTATTTCAAAAAGAAGTCTCCTAAGGGAGTAGAAGTGCAGTCTGGCCTAGGGCTCCTGGCTCCTGTGACTGTCCTGTCAGGGGCCAGGCCGAGCCCCTTGTGCCAGCAGCCTGCCCAGACCCTCCGGGCCTGCTTGCCACGTGTGGTCTTTTTCCTCCTTTTCAAAGCAATATCCTCTGGTTCTGCAAAGCCCTATCAGACAGACTGGTCCCTCCCAAGGTCAATCCATGTGTCTGATTACATTTCTGGCAAAGCAAATGAGAGGAGTTTGAGTTTGGGTCTGCCCTCACTGGGTGTCACACGCTGAGAGAAGTCCTATTGTAAAGAAAACAAACGGAAAAAGTCACAAAAAAGTTTGTATAAAGACATATTTTTGTACTACATGGGGACTCTTCCTGCATGTTAGCAATAAAACTTCCTGATCTGGAGCCACGGTGGCCTGTATGGACTGCAGTTCTTGCCCCCTCGCCTGTGTCTCCCTCTCTGCCTCCCAGCGCCGTCTCTCACCTGCCCCAGCGAGACAGTGCAGGCTCTTCTGCCATCACCATCTTGGATGGGGGAGGGGACTAGGACTACCCAGCATTCTCCCAGCACCACTGGTCCAGCCTCCAGCTAAGCGCCCAGGTGGAGATGCCCCAATTGGCTTAGCCCCAGACCCGTGCACCCAGAGCAGCCGCACCTGGCAGACATTGATCCTCTCCCTGTCAAGCTCCCATCTGAGGTGGGGGATCCATGTACTCACAAGCCAGGACAGGGGGGTAAGCAGAAGAGCCAGGCCTGGCCTTTTCCTGCACCACCTCCCTTCCCTGCCCTTCATAGGAAGCAAAGTGGGTTCCTTCCTTTCTTCTTTCCTTCCTTCACCTAAATTTAGACTTTGCCCTGAACATCAGGGCAATGAAACTAGAGGTAGCTAGCCCACCCCTGGCACCCCATGGCACATGGGAGGCCTAATTTTATGTTCAGGAACCCACGCATAGGTCCAGGTCACTAAAGGAGCAGAGAGCCATTCAGGTAGGCGGAACCCCTTCCCAGTCAAAGGTCCACACAGCAAGAGAGGGTGGCACCTCTCCAAGATGTGAGAAGGCCCTGACTCTCCACAAACACTTCAGAGCAGTTCCCAGGCCCCTAGTCCCTACCTCCACCCCACCAACCCAGATGGACCCCAGCAGCCAAGTGGCCACCCATCTTCCCAGCCTCTCCCACACTGATACAAGCCTTGCCCATTCCATCTGGCCCATACCTCAGCTATCCGGGATGCACAACCAGAAGGCGCCCTCACTTCCAGCCCACAGAGCCACACTGCGGCTCTTCCAGCTGCCACCCTGGTTCTTGTCTCCATTTGCAGCCCCCACCCTGTCCCCCAACCCAGTCAGCCTGTTCCATGCACAGATACCCCGGGGCACCCGCCTGTCCAGGCTTACACTTGGCAATACCAGCAGTTGCCCATGGGCAGGGACTTTGTCTTGCTCCCTCGGATCCTCAGCACCTACAAATGGCCTGGCATGCGGCTGACACTCCAAAACTATTGGTTTATTGATCTAAACTTCTTAGATCTCACTTCACAAGTTTTTACTGAGAGTCCTGGAAACAGAGGAAAGGGAACGTTCCAGAAAGGTATGACCTTCAGGAGCCTCCTATGGCTCCCGAAAATGCAAAGAAATGTGAAGTTTCCATTGGTTTAGCCGCTGCATGGTCCTCACTGTCCTCAGGGAGAACAGCCTCAGTGAGGCCAGACTGCAGCTCTGAGGCTATCTGAAGTGGGGAAGGAAGTGAGGAAATGGAGTCTCTGACTATTGTTCAGGCTCCAAAGTCAAGTTAGGCTTGTCTTCTTGCCTCTCCCCGCTCCATCTGGTGCCTTTCCTCCTCATACCCCATATTCAATCCACAGCTAACCCTGACAGCCAGCGGGGCAGAATTTGACCACTTCTCCCAGCTCCCTGCGACCACCCTACGTCTTCCTCTTCCTTTCAACAGCCCAGAGACAAGCGGCAAGTAAGCTTTTGGAAGCTCAGTTCTCCCTCTCCTGTTTGCACCCCTTGAGGGCTTCCAACCTGTGCAGCTTAGAATGGGCTCCGCACCCGCCCTCCTCTCTCACTTTCGAACCACTCACTCCTCACTCACGGTCCCAGCCACGCAGGCCTACCTGCTGATCCTGTGGGAACCGAGCACTCCTCCACCTCAAGGCCTCAGCACTGTGTTTTGGCAGCAAGGTTCTCTATCGATTCAGGCAGATGGATAAAGTCCTGGAGCCCTCAGTGGCTTTTTCAGGGTTTAATGTTCTTTCTATGCCAACTGTTGTGGGGCAAGCCCGCAGGCTGGCTAGGCAGGCAGGCCTCCCAAACCTGGGCAAATCTTGACTCCTCTTTGGACTCTCTCTGGCTTTCTCTCGGGGTCTCCCCCTCTCACAGCCATCCCGCCATAGCCGTTCTCCTGTCTCTCAATGATGCCGTCCTATTCTCAGCCTCCAGGCTCAGGTGTGCACATCTGCGCATGCCCACGCCCATGCTCCAGGTGTCCACAATCACGCACACGTGCCCCGCGCCTTCTACGTTCAAGGCTACAGGTGATAGCCACAGAGGCCAGCGGGGTAAAAGCCTCACCATCTTTGTTTACCCTATGGATTGGCTATTCTTTCTGGAAGGCTCTTCCACTAGCTATTTACAAGGCTCCCTCCCTCACTTTCCTCTGCTCAAAATGTCACCTCCTCAGAGAGGGTTTCCCTGGTGTTCTCTAACCCCTTATTCTGCTTTGTTTTTCTTCCTTATGCTGATCACAGCCTGACATCATATAGCTGATGACTATCTCTCTCCCCTACTCCATATGTCCCTCATGAGAACAGTAATCTTTTTTCTGTGTCCATGTGGGGGTGGGAAGTTTGGGAGGGGGGCTGGTCATCACAGTGCCTGCGGGGTGCTGCTGGCATTTGCAGGATGGGGAGCCAGCGGCTCCAGACAACCCCACAGGAAGGCAGACTCCACATCCTGTGCACAGAAATGGAAAACTTGTTTATAATTCCTAGCGCCAAGAATCTAACTCCATTTGACACATAAACACAAAGGATGTGGCAGTACATAAAATACACCGAGATTGTGGGGACGCGTCTGCTGTGTAAAGTAGAGGAAACCTATACTTTGTTTTGTTCAGAACTTCACTGAGAGTCCTCCACCGATCCAGACAGCGACACCATCACAGCCCGGAGTCAGCTGCACAGGCACCTGTCACCTCCTGCTGTTGCCTGCTTTACAAACGTGCCATTATCCTTTATTTCTTTTACATTATGAACTAGATACAGATATATTAATATAGATGGAGGTGGGCATTTTAGCCATCAATCTCATGTCGGGAACATCAGAGGGTACAACACAACAAGGTATCATAAGTGTGAAAAGACAGCTTTGGGCCCGACAGGTGGAGAGGGGTGACCCAGAGCTGCCTAGTGGTAGACTGGCTGGCAGTGTGGGCTCTGAAGTTCCACTTCCATCCGTGTGACCGCACATGCATGACTTAACCTCCCAAGCCTCCTTTTTCTTCTCTGTCAAGGGGGGATGGTGCTGCCGACCACACAGGCTTCCCTGGGGGTCTGAAAGTCGGGGTGTGCACAGTGAGCTGCAGAGTGCCAATCGCCAGTCCATATCCATAACTATCATTCCTTTTGCAAACGTTCACTGTGCCCTTTTTCCAGCAGCTGTCCTGGGTGCTGAGAGGGCGCTCAGAGAACTGGGCAGGTCTCAGAAGGCCTGAGTGAGCTCCCTCCATCCAAAACCCAGACAGCTCTTGAGGTCCCAGGGGCGAGAGGCCCAGGTGTCAGGAAGAGAACAACCACGGCCAGCCTCCCCCTTGGCCACTGAGGAAGGGGGCAGAGTCTTGCTTGGGCTTTGCACTGGGCCCTGAATATGCCAGTCCCCCAAAGCCACTGCCAGGGGCTCTGGATGTCTCAGCTCCTCCACCCCTCCTTCAAGTCCTTTTTCCCTGTGTTTCATCCCTCTCTGTGCCTCCCAAAGTGATGAATCTCTAGTCTCACTGGCAGACAGTACAGAAAGGAAGTCGACAGGTGGGTAGGTGGGATGCAAGCCAGGCAGGCAGGTGACAGATGTGCAGATTCCACCGCAGTCAGAAAGCAGGCAGCAGGGTAGGCCTGCAGGTCAGTGTCAGGGAGAGTCAGGCAGAAAAGCAGATAGGCAGGCGGCCAGGAAAGCCCGCAGGCAGTGGGGAAGATACAAAGCTTTGGGCACCTCCGCAGGACCTCTAGGCACAGCCCTCGGCTCCTTCCAGACTGTCACTCCTCTCCTGGCTTGGCCGCAGGCATTCCCCTCTCTGAAGGGCCTAGCAGTCACCTCCCCCCCGCCAACCCCCACCCTGCTGCAGCTGGCCACCTGCTTCACCAGGGCTAGGCCATACCTGACCCACTCCACACATACCACATGGCAATCCAGACATTGCCTGGCACCCAAAGACCTCAAGGCATGTGCAGGAACAACACAAACATATCCAAAAATCACATAGCCCCCACATACAGAGAGGTATGTGTGGGACCTAACAGATTCGTGTGTGTCCCACAAACTGAGGACAAGTCCCTCAACACAAGTCCCTGTGGTCAAATGAGCACAGTCATGGCACACAGCAGCATTCACATGGATGGGAGCCTCTCAGATGGCAGTGCAGCCCATGGGGACACGTCCCCATCAGTCAGTGCTAGGCTTCTCAGCCCGATGTAACAAGCTGATCGCGGCTTGTGCGGGCCAGGTCTCTCTCCTGACTGGTCTCTCCCGGCTGACTCCAGGAGACCTTCCACTGGGGAAGTGTCCAGGGCTCAGGCATCTGGCAGCTTCTCTTCCCTCCTTGCTCCCTAGGTGAACTCATCCATTGGCTGGTGGTGGGGAGATGTGGGAGATGTCAAGCCATCTTTTTTTTTTTTTAAATTCTTTTTTTTTTTAAGATTTTTTTTTTAAAGAGGCACGTATTTTATTCATTTATTTATTTGTTTGTTTTTGTTTATACAAGCACTGGGTACAGTCAGAAGCGCGGGAGGGTGAGAGAATTCACCAGAGCCAGAGCGGGGAGCAGAGCAGGCAGAAGGATGGAAGTGCACTGCTGAGGGGAGCAGCGGGCGGCAGGAGAGGTCTGCACGTCATGTGGGACCCTCCTCCGGTGGCCGGGGAGCAGCCAGGGATCGAACCGGCGCCGCAGAGGCCGCGGGCAGCTTCGCAACCCAGCGCTCAACCGCTGCGCCACCGGGGAGGCCTGATGTCAAGCCATCTTATGTGTTGTGGATTCTCAAATACATCCCCAGCCCAGACTCCTAAGGGGTCTCTCTTCCTACCTGACATCTCAAATGGAACTAAGTAAAGTGAAATCTGGATTTCCCAAAACTTGCTCCCCACATAGCTTCCCTCGGATGCTCAGGCCAGACATGAAGATATCAAACAGTTGCCTACCTGCCTCTTTCCCTCACATCCACATCCCAGGCACCCTGTCCAGTCCGAATACCACCTGATCCAAACCTGTCTCATCCCCTCCACTAGGCCCACCTGTCCCAGCCCTGGGCCGTTGCTAGGCTGGATGGCCTAGCACATTGCTCTCCCTGCCCTGCTGTGGCTCATCTTAGCTAAGCACCCCACCCACCCACCCACCAGGGATCTTTCTGAAGTGCACCAGGAACCACAACCACAACCACAACTCTCTCCAGATTAAAAGTCTCCAAAAGCTCCTTACTTGCTTACAACAAACCCCAGCTCCTTCCTCCATTACTCTCCACAGGTGCCGGGGAGAAAGGTGTCCGCACCTACCTCAGGGCCTGTGCCCTTGCCTCTGTCCTGTCTAGACAGCCCCCCACCCCCAGATCCTGGCTTGCCTGCCCCCTCCTTGGAAGTCAGGTGTCACCTCAGATTTCCCCCGAGAGTCTCCCCTGGTGTCCCCATTACTCTAGTCCATCACCCTCCACCCAAGATCATCTTTATCATGTACTGTCAGCGCCATGAGGGCAGAGATTTCTTTTCTTTGCCCTATTAACTGCTGAAGCCGCATGACTAGGAAGTACAGGCATCCGTGCTGGGCGTTTGTGACTAGCAAACAGCTCCATGGGCTTGGACACCTCCCCCCAGAATGCCCAAGCAGTGTGACATGAAAATACACACATTCAGACTCAGGCAGAAGTGTGAGTCCACACCTGCTCCCAAAACAGACAGACCAGCCGCAAGGACACCCGAGTCCCTTTTTCATCCCCCGGAGCATCCATCCTAGTTCTTTCCCCATCTAGATTTGCCCTCTCCGTGAACCCAGTCTGAGCACTGGGAGTGGGGGGTCTCCATCCTGGACAGAGGGGGGGTCACTGGCCCACAGGCCTCAGGCAGCGCCTTCAGCTATGTCTGCAATTTCCTCTCCCACTTCCTTCCCTCCTCCTCTCCGAGGCTCCCGCCAAGAAGGCCTCCCCCTCACCCCAGCCCAGGAAGGGGGCCTCCTGAAAGCCGGGGCTGGGAGTCTGGCCAGGAGGAAGACCCCAGCCGCACACTCTGATCATGCTAGACACTGCCCAGGTGGAAATGCAAACCCGTTTGGGGCAGGTCTGGCCAGATGGGAAACTCATCAACTGCGTGGTGCAGGAGAGCCGGGTTCTGCAATGCTGGCCCGGCCCTGGCTGGAAACCAGAGTCCAACACTCATTAACCCTGCGCCACCAGGGTCCTGCCAGCTGGTCACACTCACCAGCCCCGGCCCGAGAGGGGACGCGAAGGGGGTGGGCCACGGAGGGGGGCCGTCTCCCCTGAGTGAGGGGGAAGAGCAGGGTGCAGGCAAGTCCTTAGGGGCACCGCCGGGCGCTAGGATCAGCGCAGCGGGTTCAAATCCTGACCACTGTGGGAAAGTCCTTCGGTCTCTGACTTACTTGCCAAGTGGGGATCATGGTGCCCCCGCCCCCTTGTAGGGCTGCTGGAAACGATCCCATGAAAGAATATGGCAAAGGGCTTAGGCTCTCGCCGGCGCCGGGGCAGAGCTCGGCTCTCAGGGCCGCGGCGGCAGCGGCCTGGGGGCGGGTCCCCGCCGCCCGCCTCCCCCGCGGCTTCCTCTGGAGCCGCCGACGGCCCCCGGGCCGGCTCCCCTCCTCCGGGCCGCGCTCTCCCCTTCCTCCGCGGCCTTTTCCTCCCGCCCCGCCCCGCCCCGCCCCGCCTCTTTCCTCGGAGGAAACTTTCCGCCGGCGGGTCCCTCGGCCCGTGTCCGGCCCGCGCCGCCGCGGCCTGGGATCGAGCCGGGCGGGTGGGGCGCGCCGGGACCGGACGGGCGGGAGCGTCCGGGCCCCGGGGGTGCGCGGCGGCCGGACTCGGGGGAGCGGGACGGCGACGGTGAGTGAGCTGGGGCCCCCGAGCCGCCGGGGCCCCGCGGGCGGGCGCGAGGGGAGAGGGAGGCGGCTTCCCCGGCCCGGAGCCCGCCCAGGGAGCCGCGAAGCGCTCGCGCCTCGCTCCTGCATCCCGCCCGAGGGCCGGCCACCCGGCCGCGCCGGGAATCCCACGGGGCGGGAAGGGGCGCCTCCTGCGCCCCCCTCCCCTGGCCCCTGGCTTGGAAGGGCGGCTGTGCCCCTGGGAAAGTTCCCGAGACAGGCCAAGGGCTGCAACAAAGTTAGGAGCCTCTCTCTCCAGGGTGGAACCTGGGGTTGCTCTTCCAGGGAGAGAACTGCCCCAGGAGGCGGAGGTGGGGTCAGCGTCAGCCCCAGGCTGAGGACTAGGAGCTGTCCTAACTGACCTCTTAGAACGGGGGAGCCCCCCACACACTCCAGCAGCATGGATGCCCCCCGGAGAGACATGGAATTGCTCAGCAACAGCTTGGCGGCCTACGCGCACATCCGTGGTGAGGGTGGCCCCCCTGGCACGGATTCCTCACTCCCACTCAGGCCCCACCCCACCCCTGCCCACCCCTCCCCTCTGCCCACCCTCCTGCCCTTGCCTTTATAACCTTCCTCCTCCAGCCAGTAACCTACTCCCAATTTCCTCCATCCCCAAGGTCCTTTAATGCCAGATGGTGGCTACCTAGTGTCCTTCAAATAGGAGCACTGTCCCTTGCCCCCAAACATAGAACCTGGAGTCTTTTCAGAATGGAATGCCTCCCACCACCAGCACCCATAACTTCTGTCCTCTGACCCCCAGCTAACCCGAGAGCTTTGGCCTCTACTTCGTGCTGGGCGTCTGCTTTGGCCTGCTGCTAACCCTGTGCCTACTGGTCATCACCATCTCCTGCGCGCCCCACCCAAGGCCCCGGGGTCCTGCCTCTCGAAGGGACCCCCGCAGCAGCACACTGGAGCCCGAGGATGACGACGAGGAGGAGGAGGAGGACACGGTGACGCGGCTGGGCCCAGAAGACATGCTACAGAGCCCGGAGCTTTCCACCGAACCCGATGGGCCTCTCAGTGTCAACGTCTTCACTTCTGCGGAGGAGCTGGAGCGGGCACAGCGGCTAGAGGAGCGGGAACGGATCCTGCGGGAGATCTGGCGCACCGGGCAGCCTGATCTGCTGGGTACTGGCACCCTTGGGCCCAGCCCTTCTGCCACAGGAACCCTGGGCCGCATGCACTATTACTGACTGGCACCCACTCCCACTGCAAGACACTGTGGGTACTGGACATGCACTTGAGCTCAGAGCTGCCCCAGGACCTTTCTACTGCTCCTGTGCACGGTGCTATAAAGGCCCCACTCCCGCGGCTTCCCCCCAGTGCTGTTGGGCTTGGATCCCCACCCCCTGGGAGGCACCCTTCATCCATTCCTGCCAGAAGGCCCTGGGGGGAGGGAAGGAAGCAAGGGCCCCATCCTCTCTCTGGGGGATCTTTAAGAGGTGAAGTGACCAATGAAAGCTATATTCACAGTGACTCAGTTTCCCTCTGTTACCTCTGCCCCTAAAGTCTTGTCATGCAGGGGATCCCTGGTCTGAGACCTCCCCCTACACTCCTTTACCAGGGTGACCACCTTCAGCCCCTCACCTGACTTCTCAGGACACAAGCTTGTGTTCACTTCACAGAGGGCAAAACACCCCCCCACACCCAAACTCTACCACCTCACCAGTCTCTCAGAGTACAGTACCACGTGCAGCCTTACAAATGCGTTCCTGCCTGTCAGCCGCCTGGGCAGGCACGCGTCACCCCTGTCCCTACAAATGCCCTGGGCTCAGGCCTCACGCAATTACACACCAGGCTGCAGGACCCTGACCTTGACGCGGAGGCACCATTAGTCCTAGTGCAATGGTGTGTGCGTCTGAACAGAGGTGCGTTGCTGTGAGTCCTGGGTGGAGAGAGGACAGAACTGGGAGGGGTCCCAGCGCCAGGCCCCTCCCCAGCGCACAGCTGGATTCCGGAATGAACCTCGGGTAAACTAGCCAGGGCCCCAGCGGCCAGTTATTGCTCCAGTGAGGCTGGCGTCCCAAGGAGACACTGCCTCCCTCTCCCACAAGCCCTGCCCCCCATCCGGTGGATAAAAATAGCAGTGCTCAGGCCTTGGGAACAGTAATGGGAGCCACATGTTGGCCAGATGTGCCGAGGAGGGGGGGTGACCGCCAGGAATGCGGAGAGCTGGGCGCCCCAGCCTGGCCCCGCCCCCACACGGACCAGGCAGGCGCTGCGCGTGCGTACACCACAGTTTACTTCAGTGTCCCGAAGTCAGCATTCAAGAACATGGGTGGCCGCAGCCAGAGCTCCCATCAGGTCCCACAGTAGTCCCTCCCGGGCCTGCCCTCAGGGCGTCTGCGTCTGGGAGTGGATGGAGCCCTTGGTTCGGGTCTCCTGGCTCTTCCGCTTCAGTTGAACCTGGTCAGGAGAGGGTGTCAGGGAAGGGCCAGCTACCAGCCCCCACCCCAGACCTGCACCCCACCCACCTCCAGCCACTGGCGCTTCTCCCTCTCGCTCTTCAGCTCCTCCCAGATGTTGTTCAGCTTACTTCTGCAGACAAGACAAGGGGGTGGTAAGGCAGGACGACTTAACAGCCCCCACCTCTTTTCCAAACTCCCTTCCTTACCCTCCCCACTTACTCCAGCTGCACCCCCATCTGCTCCAGAGACATCTTTAAAGACTCCACCTCGGCCTTTAGCATTATTATTTCTTCTCTGTCACTTCTGCTGTCCGTGGGATTTGGGGGGACCAGGGAATGGAAGGGGTGAGCCTCTTGGGAGTCTGGTGTCAGTTTGATAGGTTGCAGATTCTTTTGAGTGGGGGTTATCTTTTGGGGGGACACCTCTTTGGGGGGAGCCCTCTCTTTGAGGGGCACCTCCAGTTGCAGGATAGCTTCATCCTTCCAAGGAGCCGCCTCCAGGAGGGTTTGGGCCGTCCCATGGGCAGGTATGCATTCACAATGGAGAGGGAGATTGTCCCTCTTACTCAGGGAGTGCTTCCTCATGGAAAGGAGGGGGTCCTCTGGTATGTGGACCTCCTCTTGAGGTTGAGTCTTATTGGCCACAAGAGACTTGACCTTCTCCAGGTCTTCCTCTGGAGTGAAGTGATGCAACCTAGTGTTGTCTTGGGTGGAGACCTTTTCAGGGAGCACCTGCTCTGGGGTCAAGACCTCTTCTAGGGTGAGGGCCTCATCCCCAGGAGGGGCCACCTTTGGGTCAAGGGCTTCATCTTTAGGTGGGATTTCTGGGGCAGGGTCCTCCTCCACAGAAAAGACCCTCTCTAGAGTGGGGGCCTGGGCCTCCAGAGTCAGGGTCGCCTCTGGAGCAGGGACTTTGTTCTCCAGAGTTGGGACCTCTTCAGGAGTGACAGTCTCGTCCTCCAGAGTCTGGGTCTCCCCTGGGGTGGGGTTCTCTGGGGTGGGGGCTTTGTCCTCCAGAGTTGGGGTCTCCTCTGGGGTAGGAACCTGATCTGGTGTCAGGGTTTCTTCTCGAGTAGAGGTCTTTTCTGATGGTGGAGTCTTCTTGGGGGTGGGGGTCTCATCCAGAGTGGGGTTTTTATTCACAGGATGGGCCTCTGAGAGGCTGCTCTGCTCTTCTTCCTGCGGTGATGGGGGAGATCTCAGCTGAGTACTGGGTGCTTGGACATTCGGAGTCCGGATCCTCCTTGGCCTGGGATCCACACCTTCACCCTTGCTGGGCAAACCAGACTCTTCCAGCAACCCCCTCTCCTGTTTTGAGTATTGGGGCCTCTCACCTGACTGGATGCAGGGCATTGCCTGGAAACCTGGGTTTTGAGTCGCTTTCTACCAGAGTGACCAGGACTCCCACTGAGGAAGCTGCCACTGGAGCCTAGGAGAGCAGAACCTCAGGGACCCAAGCCTGCTGGGACCCCCCAGTTTCTCCCCCATCTCTTTCCTTCCGCACAACCACCCTATCCCTATACCCCAGCCCTTACCCCACTGGAGTGAGGCAGCAAGACTTACCAGGGTTCCGGGAGGAGCGCTTCTGACCATCTCCACTGGGTGTCCCAGATGGCCTGGAACATGTCCCCATCAGACCCAGGGGTGGGAGGCAGGAAGCAGCATTTCCTCCATACCCTCTTCCTTCTCCCACCCTCACCCTGCTCCTTACTTGGCTTTGCTGGGCCCGGTGGGGACTGCGACCAGCTTCTTGGCTGTAGGGAGGGTTGTTTTGGGCACCATCTTTTTCAGTTTGGGTTCCTTTATAGGAGCTGCGAGAGAAAACAAGGGCATGGTATCCATTCACTCCTTATCTGTCCAGCAAGCAGCTGCTGGCCCTGTCCCGTGCTGTGCACAGGGGACTAGGGACAGAAGATGAATCACAGGAGACCACTCTGAGGCCGCATGGGCATATGGGAACTAGGAGACCTGAAGTGTCACCCTGAAGGTACACCTAGCACTTACCGGGCTTTATGTGGGAGATGGCTCCTTAGCCTGCTGGTTTTTATCTATGCCTTTGTAAGTCCTGTCCCCTGTGCCCATGGCTGCTTCCTGTTTCAAACTTCATCTCCTTCCTGGATCCACAGCAATAACCTTCCCCTTCCAATCCACCTTCCCTTGACCCTCTGTCTTCTCTATCTCATCTACTCCCTTAGAGCTCTCACCTGTCTTATGGGTTGATTTATCAGTAAGCCAACAACTCCCGGATCTTCCTCTTCCCTAAACTCCAGGCTCACCCCCGAGTGACCTCTCTCAATAGTTCCACATGGAGAGCTAATTGGCATCAACATACTTAACATACACAAAACTCATTTCTTGCTTCCCATCCCCTGAACTCCTAAACCTACCCCTTTCCCAGTTTTCTCTGTGTCACCCATTCACCCCCTTGCTCAGATGTCAAAACGAGGAGTCATTCTTGACCCCCTTTTATTCCCCTAGGCTCCATTTCCAAAACATCAGTAAATGCTGTTTGTTCTACCTTCAAAACAAGTCCTGGATCCAACCCCTTGCCCCCATCTCCACCACAAAGCACTCTAGATCCCTCCCTGAACTCCTGCAAACAGCCCTCCCCTGGCTTTGGCTGCACTCACCCTGCCTGTAGTGTGTTCTTCCCACAGCAGCCAGAGGGAGGTCCCGTTCTGGGGAAGCAGACAAAAAAAAAAAACAAACAAAAGAAGTAGGACATGTGCATGTTAGAGAGTTGTTAAGTGTTACTGAGGAAGTACCAATGTATGCATGGATTGTACAACTGGAAATGGGGTGTCAGAGAAAGCCACACTGAGCAGATGACAGCAAAGTGAATAGTCACACACAGTGACATTCACATCCATGGACACAACAAACTGTCACTGTAGCATCTGTACACATGCTGGCATTTAGTCACACACACATCATCACACACAGATACACAACCTGCAACAGCGTGTCCTAGTGGGCAAGAGGACAGAACACCAGGCCAGACACCAGACTATGAATTCTGCTGCATTACTCGCCAGTTGTGTAAGAACTTGGGTAGGTAACCTAACCTCTCTGGACCCCCAACATCCTCGTCGGTAAAATATGGAAAAAATATTACACATTTTGTAGGGCTGTTGGGAGGCTTGACTGACTATTAAGTCATGTGAGGTGCCCAGAAGGGTGTCTGGCATGGCACGCACAAGCATACCTCATTACCCTGCTTCACAGGTTTTTGCAAATTGAAGGTTTGTGGAGACCTTGCATGGAGCAAGCCTATTTGAGCCATTTTTTCTAATGTTCTCACTTCATGTCCTCGTGTCACCTTTGAGGTATGTGCTGTGATATAATGATTTGGCAGATTCAAGAGATTAAAATATAGTGGAAACAACTTTTATATGTATCAGAATCCCAAAAAAGTTGTGACCCGTTTTAATGCAATACTCGCCTTACTGCAGCAGTCTAAAACCAAGCTACAATATCTCTGAGGTATGGCTGTAGTGAAACTACAGTAAACATTAGCTTTGACTTAATGTTTCTTGTCATATGGTTAATTAGGTGCTCTGTAGGACCCTCCCCCTAGAGAGTATTCTATCCTGTTCAGGGTACAATTCTGAGGCACTGTAAGGGAGGTCCACAAAAAAGGGGGCTAGGAAAGTGGTGAGAAGCACCTCTGTGTGCATGTTCAGCCTGGGGCCTATGACAAAGAACAGGCGTCCTAGGTTCAGTTCCCTCAGCTCACCCTAGGCAGAGAGAGGAAAAAATGTGGTACGTTCACACAGTGAACTACTACTGGGCAACAAGAAGGAGTGAAGTACAACATATACTATAAAGTGATGAAGGGCCTCCCTGGTGGTGCAAGGGATTAAGCACAGCACGGTGAAGCTGTCCGCAGCTTCTGCAGCATGAGTTCAATCCCCAGCTGGCCAAGGAGCTACCCACATGGCACAGCAGACCTCTCCTGTCTCGCCCACTGCTCCCCTCAGCAGTGTATTTCACTCAGTCTGCCTGTTCTGTTCCCCGCTCTGTCTCTGGTGAATCCTCTCACCACCCCACACCTCTGGCCTATAACCCAGTTCTTATATGCATAAATGAATAAATCTTTAAAAAAAAATAAAGTGATGAACCTTGAAAACATGTAAGATGAAAGCAGCCCATTACAGAAGATCATATATGATAGCATGTATATGAAATGAGGGCAAATCTCTCAAGAGAAAGTAGACTAATGGGTTGTCTACTTTCAACCCATTAGTGTGAGGGGAGAATGGAGAGACTGGTGGAGTAAAGGCTATATAGGATGCAGAGTTTCTTTCTGGGGTGATTAAAATGTTCTAAAATCAACAGTGGTGATGTTGCAGAGCTCTATGAATACACTAAACACCACTGAATTCACATGAGAACTTTACGGTATGTGAATTACATCTCAAAATACTGTCTCAAGTGAAAAAGGGATGCGGAACAGCTTTGGCCCACAGACTCTAATTAATTCCTGGTCTAAATACTCAAAGAGGCAGAGATTGTCAAAATAAGAAAAGCAAGATCTAACAATATACTGTGTACAATAGACAGACACAAATACGTTGACGGTAAAAGGCTCGAAAAAGATACCACACAAATGGTAAGCATAAGTGTATGATTATAATATCAGATAAAACAAAATTGAAGACAAGAAAAATTACTAGATACAAACAGGGAGAGATCATAATGATAAACAGATAACTACACCAGGAAGAGATAATTATAAATGTGTATGTGTCTCACAAGAAAGTCTCAAAATATATGAAGCAAACACTGATCGAACTGAAAGAAGAAATAACAAGATTTTGTTAAAGAGGAAGGCTAAGACTATGAATTTAGATATGTAATGTTAGCTATACAAGAGAAATTTCAAAGGTAACCACTAAAATAATAAAAACAAAGTGTACAAATTTAATAAATCAATGAAAATTTTAAATAAGATAAAGATAAGAACCATTTAAAAATGTTGTAAAGCAATTATGGCTCATATAGTCTAAACTCACCAATTTATCACCAAAGACTGACAGACTAGAGTAAAAAAACAAAGGTAATTTTTAGAGGTTTTTGCAAACAATGTACATATAGTTAACACTACTGTACTGTATACTTTAAGATGGTTAACACTGTAGATTTTGTTTTTCCTCAATTGAAAAAACACAAAGATATGATAGAAAGGTTTTTTTTTAAATCTTTGAATATATATTTTTTAAATTTTAATTTTCCTTTAAGATTTATTTATTTATTTATTTATTTATTTATTTATTTATTTATTTATACATACAAGCACTGGATACAGTCAGAAGCACAGGAGGGTGAGAGAATTCACCAGAGCCAGAGCGGGGAACAGAACAGGCAGACTGACGAAGTACACTGCTGAGGGGAGCAGTGGGTGGCAGGAGAGGTCTGCGTGCCATGTGGGACCATAGCCCGGCAGCCGGGGATAGAACCGGTGCTGCAGAGGCTGCGGGCAGCTTTGCAACCCAGCGCTCAACCACTGCCCCACCACTGCCCCACCGGGGAGGCCCCTCTTTGAATATATTAACAACTCTGGTGACACTGAACAAGAATAGAGGGAAGAAAAACACTATTCCAAAAAAAGTCTACAACTACAGATAACAGATAAGACTAAAAAATTAGAATATTACAAACAGCTTACACAATTAAAAAACATCAGCTAAATGGATACTGTTAAAAATATAACTAAAACTGATTCAAGAATTTTAGCCTGGGGCCTCCCTGGTGGCACAGGAGTTAGTCTCAGCACTATCAAGCTATCGCCAGCCACTGTGGCCTGAGTTTGATCACCCAGCCAGGCAGCTGACCCACATGACTCAGCAGACCTTTCTTGTCTCACCTGCTGCTCCCCTAAGTAATGTGTTTCAGTGGCTCCACCTGTTCTGCTCCCCACTCTGTCACTGGTGAACTTTCCCACCCCTCACCTCTGACCTACATCCCTAATTCTTGTATGCATAAATAAATAAAAATAAATCTTTCAAAAATAATAATTTCAGGGCCTCCCCGGTGGTGCAGCGGTTGCGCACTGGGCTGCGAAGCTGCCCGCACCCTCTGCAGCGCCGGTTCCATCCCCGGCTGCTCCCCGGCCACTGGAGGAGGGTCCCGCATGGCCCGCAGACCTCTCCTGCCGCCCGCTGCTCCCCTCAGCAGTGTACTTCGGTCCTTCTGCCTGTTTTGCTCCCTGCTCTGGCTCTGGTGAATTCTCTCACCCTCCCACGCTTCTGACTGTACCCAGTGCTTATATAAATAAATAAATAAATCTTTAAAAAAAAAAATAATAATTTCAGCCTGATTTTTGGCTAGACACTGTTATCCCAGGGACTGGGCAAAATACAAAATACTGTCTTGTCAAGATACAAGATTTCTTCCCCTCTGAGCTACAAGATGAAATCATTTGAAGAGCAGCTGTATAAGTCTTGACGGATGTAATCAAATTAAGATAAGATCATACTGGATGAGGGTAGGTCTTAATCCAAGGACTGGTGTCCTTATCAGAACAGGGAAATTTGGACACGGACACACAGGGCTGAAGACCATGTGAAGAAATAGGCAGAGAATGAAGTGATGCATCTACAAGTCAAGGCTATGTAGGGATAATTGCTTCTCTGGGATATAACCCTAGGAGTAACACTACCTAGACTGTAGGTTATATGGATATTCCGCTTTTATGAATTGCCAGCAGATACTGGAAGCAAAGAAGCAACTACCAAAAGCTAAGAAATTGGTTTCCAAAGTGATTATCCTCAATACTTGGTATTATCAGATTTCATCATTTTTGTGAATCTAGCATCTCAGTGTGGACTTAATTTGCATTTTCCTAGTTAGTAAGAATTTGTTGAAGTTATTTATATATATATATATATATATATATATATATATATACCTACCTTTTGTCTTATACATATTATAAATATTTTCTCAATTTGTGGCTTGTCTTTTTTTTTAATCAACAGGAGTTCTGAATTTTACTGCAAACATGTTAATCTTTAAGGGTTAGGTTTTTTCCTTATTTAAGAAATCCTTCCCACCCCAAGCTGTCATTTGTAGATGTTTTTTCATTTACATATTTTTAAAGACCTTTATTAAAGTGTTGTTTTCATTTTTTAAGTGCTTTTACCTATTTTATTTATTTTTATATATATCTTGGGAGTTTCCTCACATCAGTAGTTTTATCTCTACTGAATTCTTTTTATTTGTTTGTTTGTTTTCATAGAAGAACTGGGGTACAGGCCAGAGGTGTGGGGGGAGGTGAAAGGATTCACCAGAAACAGAGTGGGGAGCAGAACAGGCAGATCCACTGAAATATACTGCTGGGGGAGCAGCGGGTGAGACAGGAGAGGTCTGCTGAGCCATTTGAGTAGTGGCCAGGGACGGAACTTGTGCTGCAGTGGCTGCGGATAGCTTCATAGTGCTGAGACTTAACCCCTTGCACCACCAGGGAGGCCCCTAGATTTTCATTTTCTGTGAAAACAGTTATGTTGTTTGTGAGTAATGACAATTTTGTGCTATATTCTCCACTCCTTATATCTTTTAATTATTTTATTGCCTTATGGTGGCTAGGACCAAAACAATATTGAAGTAGTGATATTGAACATTATCAACATATTCCTGATTTTAAACAGAATGCTTCTAACTTTTCCCAATTAGCAATGATATTTGCTTAGATCTTTTGTAGATACCTTTTTGTCAGGCTTAGGAAGGTCTTTTCTATTTCTAGTTAACTTAGAATTATTATCAAGAATGGGTGTTGAATTTTCTCTATTTATATGAATCTTTTGGAATGACTAAAAGCGTTTTTCTTTCAATCAGTCAATATGATGAATGATATTTGTAGAATATTTTAATATTAAGCCAGTCTTGCATTCCTTGGATAAGTTCAGATTGGTAGGGTTTATCATCTTTTCATATGCTTTGGAACACTTTCCCAATTTTTCTTTTCCTATGATTTTTTTTTAAAGATTTATTTATTTATGCATACAAGAATGGGGGTACAGGCCAGAGGTGCGAGGGGTGAGAGGATTCACAAGACACAGAGGGGAACAGAACAGGCAGACTGACTGAAATACACTGCTGAGGGGAGCAGCAGGCGAGTCAGGACAGGTTGCTCCTCCCTGGCCAGGGATCTAACTTGTGCTGCAGTGACTACAGTAAGCTTCATAGATTGCGTCTTAACCTCTTGCGCCACCATGGAGGCCCCTTTTCCTATGATTTTTGTACTTATTTTTACTGTTCTCATCTGGTTATCTATGTCATACAGGCCCCATGAATGAATTATCTGGTAGAACTTACATAAGATGGGAATCATTTTTCCTTGAGAATTAGTAAAACTTTGTAAATTCACCTGGCTTTGTTTTTTTTCCTATTATGGGAAGATTTTAAACTACTTTAATTTATTTTATAGTTATAGACAAGTATGGCTAAAGTTCTATGTTTTTCTTTCTTTTTTGGGGAGAGTGCTTTAAAAAACAACAGATATTTAAACTCTCACAGTTCTAGTTAAGAAATGTACCTCTTCTTAGCTTCTTGTAGCTGCTGGCAATCTCATAAAAGTTGAATATCCACATAACTTATAATCTAGTAGTGCTACTCCTAGCGTTATATCCCAGAGAAGCAGTTATCCCTACATACTAGAAGACAGGCATATAAATGTTCATGGAGCACTATCTGTAATAGTAAAAACCAGAAAAAGTGAAAATGTTCAATATCAGAAAGCCAGATACACAAACTTTGGTAAATTCCCTTTGAGGAATATTATATAGCAGAGAAAAATAAATTAACCCCATTTATACACAACATGGATGAATCTTAGAAATAATGCTGACTGGAAACAGTAAGTCCCAGAAGATTGTAAACATGGTATCACTTTTCCAAAGCTCAAAAAAAAAGGAAAAATAAATTAAGTCGTATACAACTATATAATAAAGTATACAAGTAAACTCTAACGCTCAAAGGAATTATAAACACCAAATCTGGGATAGTGATCACCTTTGGTGTAAAGGAAGTAGCAGAATGAGAAAGAGGAACAACAATGTTCTAATTCTTGGGTTTGGATGCTAGACCATGGGTGTGTATAAGTGTTCATTATTAAGTTTTAAAATATATATGTGACATATACTTTGGCACATGTGAAATATTACATTAAAAATAAAAAGATACACACCCCCACAGATAATTATCCACTGACATAAGATAAGTGAACACACACACAGATGGGTCTCACAGACCCATCTCACAAAATGAAATAAATCTCAATGCATTGACAGCTACATTTTCAAGACACAGAAACATAACTATATTAACACATAAACTGACAAATTCCCACTTACAGAAATACATTCCTACCAGGTCATTAATCTATAGGGAGTGGCTCCTAAGTGGTATACTGGACCATTAGGGAGCTGCAGCTGTTTATAGACAGCTGGAATATTGGGTCTTCCAGAGAGGATTCCCCTCCCCTGAATGAGTCCAGGCTTCCCAGGGGCCTACCAGATTTCCGAGATGCCACTTTCCGAGGGGCCAGCTTCTTGAGCTGTGCAGAAAAGAAGTATCAGAATCTGAAGAGGCGCACCCACATTTCTAGGTCTACCTTCATTTTGGCAGAACCTTCCAATTCTGAGTACATGTCCCCCAACTTAGTCCAGAGTAGCCCACCCTTGGGCCACCTGAATGACTCTGTACTCACTGGGGGTGGTGGAAGCACAAAGTTGTCTGGGAAAACTCCTCTTCTGCCTTGAGACTCACCTTCCCACCAGCCCTCATCCTCTGTGATCTGTGAGAGAAGGATGTGGTGTACAGGTGAGTCAGGTCCCTAAGTTTCTTCCTTTCTGGGGTCCACCCCTTCTCACCATAACCTTCCCTGCCCTTCACTGCACCCACCCCTGCCCTGTGCCCTCACACCTTCCTCAGGACTTTCACCACATCTCCTTTCCGTAGTGCCAACTCGTCCGGGGCCTCGGGCTGGTAGTCGAACAGGACCCTGCAGGTCTCAGGGTGGGAGACTAAGGGAAGATGAGTCAAATCACCGTGTCCAAATCACAGAGCAGCTCCTTCCTCCATAAACCTAGGTGCACCCTCCCCTCCAGCCCCCAAGTCAGAGTGGCTTGGGGGAAGGAATTCCCAGGGACCCTTTGAGCTGGGTGCTCACCTGTGCGAAGATAGTCTGGAGGGCTGTCATAGGTCAGGCTGCTCAGCTAGTGGGGGCAGGGGAAACAAAAACAAGCTGAGCTTCCCACTGCCCTGTGAAGAACTCACCTCGGCCCACTCCACCCAGATTACCTTGGGAGGTCGCTGGGGGTCAGAGCTGACTGAAGGCATGTCTGGATTGTCAAGGCCTGGTGGGGGACAGTGAGATTAGAAAGTTGGTCTTAATTTGCATCTTGGATCATGGGAGAGGTCAAAGGGGTTGCAGGGCAGGTATGGATCACAGGCTCAGGTCACTGGAGATTGCAGAGTCTGGTCACAGGGGTTCACGGGGTCACAGGGTCCAGGTCTCACTTGGGGGCCCACTGTCCAGCAACTCCACAAAGTTGGATGGGAAGGCTCCCAGCTGCCCGTTCTTCTTCCCCAGCCACCAGCCGTCCTCAATCTGGGGAAGGGGGTAGGACGGAGGAGCTTCTGGTTCTGCCCCAAGGGTCTGTCTAGAAATCTTACATCCATGGTTCTGTCCTATTTTGCCCCATGAGTCCCTCCCTTGCTCTTCCACTTTCCCATCTCTGTCCTCCCCACCCCCCATCCCGCCAATCCAATGGCCCACACCCTCACTACATCCACCCCCTCACATGCTCCCTCATCTCCCCTAAAACCCTCTCAGCAGCTCATCCCCTCACCTCCTTTATCACTTCTACAATCTCCCCAGCTTGCAGCTTCAGCTCGTCCTCCTGCTCCGGGTTGTAGTTGAAATTCACTTTGCACCATCTTTGGGGGCCCCGCGATTTAGCAAGGTGACCTAAGGAGGGACGAGTCAGGCAGCTTGAACCCGGTGCCCGGGGAGGGGGCGAGTCAAGAGCGCCCATCGCAGTACCTACAGGCCCCGCCTCCGGGGCGGAGCATTGTACTCGAGCACCAATCAAAGGCCGCAGAGGGCTCACGGCCCCGCCCAGAGCCGCGCCCGTCACTGCGTGCGCCGGCCCAGGTCCCTCCGGCTCTGCGCGCCCGCCCGCCCCCCGGCGCTCACCTTGGCGGCGCGCACAGCGCGGTCTCCGGGGCTCCCCAGCACCGCGCAGGCTCTCGGGGATCTCCTGGGAATGAGGGCATGGGTGGGTGGGGCTCTCAGCCCGGCAAGGCGCACGCTGAGACCCCCAGCCCGACCTCCGGCCCGGCCTCACCTGCACCAGGCGCTCCGGGAAGAGGCCACAGTGGCCCCCCAGCTCTCCGCGCAGCCAGCCCCGCGCGGGCCCCTCGCACACCTGCCGGACCACATCCCCGGGCGCCAGACTCAGCTCGCCCTCCTTCTGCGCACGGTATCCGGACAAGACCAGCACCTCTGCGGACGGAGGACAGGGCGGAGGCGCGGCTCAGAAGGGCACAAGTAGTCCCGGACTCCGTGTAGAGGCAGCGGGAGGGGGTGGTGATGTAGGCTTTTGCTGCCGTCTTATCACGGTTTCCCAAAGGGGCCACCCCAGACCTTCTGGACATACCCATGGCTTCCGGGGCGGCCGAGTCCGGCTGGCAGGACAGTGCCGTCCCGCTGGCTGCGGAGTAGTACTGGGCCGGGGTGGGGTGGGACGAGATGTGAGATTACGAAGCGAAGGAGGCGGAGACAGGAGCCGATAGGTCAGGCTCCAGGCGCCGGCAGTGGGTGTTGGAGGGGGCGGCCCGGCTCAGCAGGTTTGGCCCTCCACCCGGGGGTGAAGATGACTCCAGGGTCTCGGGCCAGTGTTGGGGTCACAGCTCCCACGTGCTTTTCCCCTGTCTAGTCAATAAAGGTCCAGTCTTAGCTCTGAGGCTCCCACCCACCAACGGCACTAGCCTTCCTTGGCCTACCCGCCGGGAAGCTTTTAGCTGCAGGCTAAGAGGTGGGGAGAGGCACATACCAGATACCAGGGCGGGTGGGGGGGGGAGGGCGGGGAGGCACCAGCAGGCACCAACCGCTCTAAGGCGGGGGCCGTGGGTGAAGGGTGTGGTTGCGCACACAAAGGCACTCCAAACTTCTTTCCCTGGGAGGTGTATCCCTCGCTGGGCTAATACCAACTACCGATTAAAGAGAAAGAACCCAAGGACCCCTAGGCCCCTTCTTCGAGCCACAAGGACGTACCCTGGCTTCCGAAAACACCTCTGGGATTCTTGGGGGAAGGCAGAAAGTTTAGGACTTTATAAGGTTCCTCCTGGTCACAGCCAAGCCCAGAGCTGGCAAGGACTGAAGGCTGGGGTCCCCCTAGAGCCAGTCTCAAGTGGGCCTAGTTAATGCAATCTTCTTGTTGGGTCAACTCCAAAGGCTGAGCCTGTTAACCACACACTTTGACCCCTGCCCCCACCACTTTGGAAGCCAAAGTCCTTGGTTATGACACCACAATGAATAAATTTGGTCCTCCTGGGGTGTCCAAGGTACAGGATAAAGCAAAATCACAAGGGTGGGAATGAGGAGTTACTAGCTGGCAGAGGGATGGCTGAGGCTCCTCCCAGGTTAACAACTGTGTGGGGCTGAGTAACAGTCTGGGCCAGACCCCAATGACGTTTTTTCTTTCAAGTTCCCTGGAGATACCCACCCACACATGCATACACACACTCGGGATGACAATGACCAGAGCTCATTTACATCTGCCACTTCATTTATTTTTTTATTTGCAGGAGGAGTTGAAACAAATTTTTAATGGTGTTTTCATTTTTTCCCCCAAACATGAATCATTCAAGTAAAACCAACTTAACTATAGAAATGTAGCAAAGTAAGGGAGAGTAGCACAACAACCCAAGAGGCAAAGGCTGGGGGGGGGGCGGAGAGGGAGCCAAAGTGGGTGCAGTCCGCATATAACATATGCATAAATGCCTTATGATTCACCTGCTCAGGACCGCCTCCCCAGAAGGCAAGCACAAGGACCCATTTTAAGAGGATGTTTTTCCCCCAAACATCTGAGAATGTTTCAACTTAAAGCTTAAGGTTAAAAAAGGTAAAAAGAAAACAAAACCAAAAATAAACCAAAAAAGCCACCCAGCCATAACCACCTTCCTTAATCGATCATAGGAGTTTCATTTTATAAAAAGATTAATAAAAAATATTGAAAAAATTATTTTCTCATCTTATATTTGTAAAGATAATAGAATTCAGAAGTTTCTTAGAAAACAGACCAGAAACTGCCATCCAGTTTCCACCCCTGTTGAGCTCAGGATCAGCAGGACTAGAAAGTTTGGGATACTGGAGTTGCTGGTGGAGAATGGGAAGCCCAGCCCAGAAGAAATCAGAAATACTGAGGGGGGGGGGGTGTACACATGGGGTGTGGTTAGGAGCAACACCACGTGTGACAAGACACATGGCTGTGCAGAAAAGGGGAACACAGGTGGTCAGAAAGGCCCTGAACTCCTCGACATACAAAACCGATTTTTACAAAGATCCAAGCAGTTTGGTCCCAAACTGAGGTGAACACGTCAATGTTTATTCACATGCTTTTTAAGAATCAAAGTTGCTCAAATTAAATCTTTCTGCTAATGTTACTACATATGCCTAAGAAAAGGATAAAAGGGGCTTTTAAAATCAGGAAAAAGGAGACTGAAAATCATCAAATTATTCCTCGTAGCTCCAAATGAAATGAAATTTAAGAACAAAAACTGTTGGTTTCTAATAGGGAACAAACCAAAACCCAAATATTGCTCTCCCCTCCCTACCCAGCCCCCACCCCACACAACCAACAACAAACGAGAAACAGCGAGAGCCCAATGTATTGTATTCTGCTCAAGAGCTGGGTCTGACCACTGCCAGCCACCCCTATCCACTGGGACACAGCGCCAGGGATACTTTCATGATAGGATTCTGCATGGCTGCTGGGGAGTAGAGATAGGATTTTCGCAATTTTCTTGAGGCTCCTCTGTTTAGCTCCTCATCAGCCATCTTCCCAGCGATTCTCCCCCCTGGGCAGGGCTCCCATTAGAATGGACCCTACTCAGTTGTGGGTTGTAAATTGTCCTTTTCTTCTCGGTTCTCTGTCCCACTCTCGTCGTCTTCAATCTCCCCTTCTTCCCCACTGAACTTGTCATGGGCCCATTTGGGACTGGTGCTGGACTTCCGGAACATGAACCGGCCCCGACCCCGGGGAAAGGCTCCTCGGCCCCGGCCCCGGCTCACCCACTTCTCACTTCCTTCACCTTCGCGGTCATCATGCTGAGAGGGAAGAAAACGCCATCAGTGCAAGCTTAAGAGTAGCTAGAACCTTCTTCCCTGCACCCACCCAAACGCGCCTTTCCCAAGCAGATTATGCCACAGCCATCCTTTTGCTCCTGTTCTGTCCTCCTCTTGGCCCTCCATTCCAAATGCCATTCGCACAGCTCTAAGAGAGTATTCAGTTGGGTGCCTCAGGAATTCTAAGGCCTACGTAGGCTTGGGCAATGTAACTTTCTTGGTGGTGATGAAACCGCCACTGAACACTGGTGATCCCCAGATACATACCAGGTAATACTTCTTGCTTTTGGGTGTGTACTCAGGGTCCCACTCCTCCTCCCGGTTTCTCTTCTGAAAGTCATTGTTGCTGCTGCTGTTGTTGTTACCAGAGTAGCTGCCTCTGCCCCAGCCTCTCCCTCTGGCTCTAAACTGCTGTGGCAATAAATGGAGGGGAAAAATAACAAAGAATCATCTCAGGAATGGAGGGGAAAAAATCCTTGCATGCTGTTCAAACACTTTTCTGCCACAGAATACAGTTATCCCCCAGTCATGTGCTGGCCAACTGGTTTCCAGCCATCCCTTTCTGCTCTCGTCAACTCAAGTCTATAGTATAAGCTGTCGATATGGCACATGGACCTCCCTAAATACAATAGTAACAAAGGGAGAAGTTTCAATGCCCGAAACCCTGAGGCTTTGTAACTAAATGTTTATGAACGGAGAAACAACTAAAACTGGAAAGCCTAGGGAATGGGAGTCACAGAATATGATCTATAATGGATTATTTGTATCAAGGTCAACAAAACTGGTATTCTGGGAAATGCATAGTTAAGAATTATGGAAGCAGAGGCTTAAAGAGGAGGAAGGAGAGAGGTCTTACAAAGGTCCCCCGAGCTCTGCCTCCTCTTTCACTTGGACCCACAAAGTCTTTGGTCCCCAGTCTTGATTTGTCAAAGCCCGTTGTGCTCTCCTCTCTTTCCTCAGTCTCTTCAGTGTACTCTTCTGCTTTGTAGGAGTGGGATGACTGGGAGGAAGAGGATGATGACCTAGACCGGTCTCGTGCTCTCCGGTGCTTCCTATGGGAAGAGAAGAGGCAGGGAAATCAGTAAACCTCTGTGGTACAGCCCTTGCCTGGGGTCTCATGGTTAAGCAGCACAGAACAATCAGGAATATATTGGTGATGAGAATAAGTAACCTAAAAACACCCAACTCACCCCCATCTTGCCCTCCCAGGGTAATTCTGTCAATCATGTTCAGTGATACATCTATGAATACAGGACATACACAGAAGGGAGAATACAACCCATGGCCTCTGGTACACAAGCATGAATTAGAAAGGCAAAAGGAAACTAAAATATTGGTTAGTATTTTACTAGCACTTTGCAGTACTGAGAACCACTATGTATCTTGTACTGAGACACAGTTATTATATATTACTCTGTGCTTTAAATTTCTTTCTTTCTTTTTTTTAAAGATTTATTTACTTATTTTATTTATTTATTCATTCATTCATTCATTCATTCATTCATTCATTCATTCAAGCACTGGGTACAGTCAGAAGCACAGGAGGGTGAGAGAATTCACCAGAGCCAGAGCGGGGAGCAGAGCAGGCAGAAGGACCGAAGTACACTGCTGGGGGGAGCAGCGGGCGGCAGGGGAGGTCTGTGCACCATGCGGGACCCTCCTCCGGTGGCCGGGGAGCAGCCGGGGATCGAACCGGCACCGCAGAGACCGCGGGCAGCTTCGCAACCCAGCGCTCAACCGCTGCGCCACCGGGGAGGCCCTTAATTTCTTTTTTATAGCCAGAACAGTCTTGTGGGGGTACTCTAAAGATTAAACAAAGCACTCAAATGTTTTACAATGAAGTAGCAAGCATGCAGTAAATGGTAAGTAAAATAAATCAGTACCAGATCCATTTTATAGATGGGGATCAGGTGAAAGAACTAAACAGAACTTGGATTCAAATCCAGCTCTAATTATACCACTAATCCACACCCCACCTCCCACTAAGCTCAAACAGGTCATGTTATGAAGCACAGGATCTGGAGAAACTCTTCCCAGAGTTATTTCCCTCCATTCCCTTCATCTGGGGTAAATTACAGACTAGGGCAAATTGTCTTAATATGATGAATCATGGTCTATATTCTAGAGGTCGGTGCCAGTCCTGCCATTTGGTAGATGAGTTTACCAGCTGCCTCTAAGGTGGAAGGCCAGGCTCCCAGGAATAGACTACTTACAGGGAGAAACCAGCCAAGTGTTAGTAACCTGCTGGTGTCCTCCCTCCCTCAGTCCTAACCATCCTTTTCCACACAAATTTGATGACCTCAAGAACTTAAATATGTGAATCCTACCACAGTTCTAGCATCTACTTATAAAAAGGAAAAATTTAAGTTATTTTCTGATCTAAGTGTTCTTAGATCAGATGTG